GGGCTGATCTGATGAAGAAAAACATTGATATCTTTGCACTAGATTTTGATGCTATTCTCAATGCCATGTATGTGATGTCTATTAGTGGAGAGGGTGCTCAGTACCTGCGTGTTCCGCCCGATCCGGGCATTCGGACCAGTGAGGCTGCCGCTCTAGGTGCTAGAGTGTCTGCTACCCCAGGTGCTGGTGAGGCTACCGCTAGCTGCTAGTGAGTCTGCGCCCCCTGGTACTGAGCCAACTAAGGCACTGCACACATTCACACTGGACTCAGGTGCTTCCCGCTGTTTCTTTCGTGACCGCACGGCCCTCGAGCAGCTTGCTCGACCAATTGCAGTCTCCCTCGCTGACCCCTCTGGGGGTCCGGTCCTTGCGACCTCCTCCACTGTCCTCCCCTGTCCTGCGGTCCCGTCGGGCACACTGTCAGGTCTCTACCTCCCCTTGTTCTCTACGAACTTGGTGGCGCATAGTGCGCTCCAAGACGGTGTTGTGTGATGCAACCATATGCATTCACATCTGTCTGCCTCCCATCATGTGTTTGTGCGTTGCATGCGTGGTGTGAGCGTTTGCAAGAATTTGTGTTTGATGTGGTTTGGTTTTTCAGAGTGAGTGTATGTTATTTGGCTTGAGCAGATATCTGAAGTGATTCCTCTACTCAAGAGCTTTCCGACGAACCAAGAATCGTCGCGATCGGAGCACAACCAAGAAAGTTACGAACATTGGAGTTCGTATGCTTATATATTTTGGTTGCAGCTACTTTAGGAAGTTGTGGCATTGACTCAATATGGGGTACAGACTTGTGGGGGTTGAGAAATTCGAACCCATCAGTGTAGATGCTGCCAAGAGGTTGGGTGAAGCCAAACCAGGTTGGTAAGTATGGCCAAGTTGTGGTGAGGTGGATGGCATGGGTTGGAAAGTGACAAAGGTCAAAGTTTGTTGCCTATGGGGAAGGGAATTGTGTGGCATGGGGTTTCCTTGGTTGGGGACTCTCTCTTGTGACCTTCCCTCTCGTCCTCCTCTTCCCCTCCTACCAGGTTTAGTGCTACTCTAATGTTCTTTTGTGGGACTTGTGAGTTAATTGTGATTGAGTTAAATTTCTGTGGCAGCATACCCCCTAGTGCGCCAAAAAGCATAATTCGAGATATTCTTCATTTATTTTTACGATTTAAATTGGGAAATGTAGCCACGGTCTAGGGCTACAACATAGTCGAATTTTGTGAGATTCTAACGGTGCACGTTTCGTCGACAACGTTTTTTGTGGAGTCGACGTTTCTGTCCAGAAATTGAGACCAACGATTTTGAGAAATTTGAGTAACTAATCTTCATAGACTTCGTCCTTAGTCTGTAACAAGTGGTATCAGAGCTGATTAAGGACTTTGTGGAGAGTCTACTGAAGTGTGAAGACCCTCCTAGACTCACCATGGCCTGTGGGCGTGCCTAAGTGCAATTCTGGAGGTTGGATGTGACTTCCGCTAAGGGGAAACTCTGCCGAAATTTCGTTGGCGCCGACACTTGTGAAGATTGTGTGGATCTACATTGTGACCAGCAAAAGGGGGAGCTGAAACCTCTGATTGGGAGCAGAGGAGATGAATCAAGGGAGTGGAGATGCAGCTGAGAAGAGGAGTGAACCGCCGCCATCCAAGATCGAAGCATTGGATGGCTCCAACTACGAGGAATGGAGCGGGCGGATGCGGAGCGCCTTCAAGCGCTACAAGCTGCTGAAAATTGCAATGGGAGAGGAGAAGATGCCGGGGGAAGGAGATACCCGCGATCGATGGATTGAGAAGAGCGCGGTGCTGTACGACCTCATCCTTCAATCGGTCAACAACGACATGTTCCAGCACATCAAGGATTTGGTGGAGTTGGATGATTCCGGACCGAAGGCGTGGAAGCTGCTACGCGACGTGGTTCAACCCAACACGCTGCCGATGGTGATCGTATTGGAGAAGGAGCTGGCTGCCCTCTCCATGCGGCCGGGAGATGATGTGAAGCCGGCCATTGACAAGATCAAGGACACCTATGCGAGGATGGCAGCGGCGGGCAGCAAGGTGTCGGAAATGCAACAGTGCACCAAAATCATCTCGGTGCTTGACAACTCGTGGGACAACCTTATCCCCACCCTCAACGCTCAGCAGGACAAGTGGACGCCTGAGTGGCTACGACAACAGATCCTGCAAGAGGACTTCCGGAGGCGCCACACGGGAGGTGGTGCTGCCAACAAAACTGCTGAGGGGTATGGAGCTGCAGGAGGCAGCAGGGGGAGAGGGGGAGGGAGAGGCCGAGGCCGTGGGAGAGGCTTTGGCAGAGGAAGAGGCCGAGGTGACTACAACGAGGGGCATGAGAGCTCTGGTGGCAAGGGGAGCACCCGAATGGAGGGTGCTGTTATAGTCACAGTACGCTCCAATGTGCCTAGAACGAAAGATAGAGTGCACAGTCAGATTTCTGCATAGCGGCTTCAAACGTTCATAGCGTTCTGGTTACAGCTTCAAATGACTTGATTCAACTTGGATCTGGAGCGTCCTATTGTCGCCTACAATAGACAATTTAGATCGCACGATTTGACCAAGCATTGACGACACAGCGTTGGTTTGAACGAACGGCACTATGGCAGCCACTATAGTCTTAGAACACAAGATAGGAAGAGTTAGGAAGAGTTACGAGTTGGGAATGACTCCCAGCTCCTACAAACCCCAAGAGCCGAGGTACAGTGATGTGGAACAGTGCCACACTGTCCCCAACCACGAAGGGTCTCGAAACTACCCTTCACTAGGGCCTACACCAAGTGAAATGTTACACTACACAAAGTAATGTAACTATCTTCAATATCTTGAGGTGTACCCTTTTGACGAGCTTCGAAATCACTTGAGGCTTGACACCAAGGCTCGGGCTCTTCATCACAAACTCATCCTTGAGTTCTTGATGGGTCTGCTGCACACACCTTCGACACACCGAACGTTCGACACAGGACAAAATAGAAACCGCGCACGACAAAATAGAAACCGCGCGCGAGACACAAACGACCGCGTAACACGCGTCTAGCGATAACTCGCTATTGACTCAACACACACACTCGACATCATGACTCAACATTCACACACAATTATAAGCATGAAATATATATTATCCCATGCCCTCATACCATTCCATGCACACACACATTCACGCACACGGACAACAAGCCGAGTGCAAACCATAGGGTTGCACCAACAAACTCCCCCTCGGATTGTTGGCCTTAGGATATGTTGCTCTCTCAGTTCAGAGCCATCCCAGACAGCTTGCAACACTTCCAATGCTGCTGCTCCACCAGCCTCTTGGTCATCATATCAGCCGGCTGCCCCGTGGTCTTCACGTAGCGCAACTCAACTTCACCCGCGGCCACGATGCTCCTCGTCCAATGCCACTTCACCCTCATGTGCTTCGTGAGTCCATGCAACACAGGGTTCTTAGCAAGAGCAATTGCACCCTGGCTGTCACAATACAGTAGGGTAGGTCCTTGCTGCTCCTCCCCCAATTCAGCCAACAAACGCCGCTGCCACACAATCTCCCGTACGGCACGGAAGAGTGCCATGTATTCGGACTCCACCGAGCTCAAAGCTTGGTCAACTTGCTTCTTACTCTCCCAAGCAGTTGGGCCTCCACCAACACAGCATATGAAGCCTCCCACACTTGTCATGTCCTCTGGTTGTGATGCATATGAAGCATCCGAGAAGGCGGTGAGGTACAAACGCCCGGGTTCAACACCATCCGCGCCTTTTTGGCGTCTTTGTGCCGCCGCCGAGTATTGCAGCCCAACGGTCGGTGTTTGGCCAAGATACTTGGCCACCCTCATTCCAGCTGCTACCTGCTCCTCATTAGGGCATTGCACAACCCTAGCCAGCTGCCCGGTAGCAAACGCGACGTCCGGTCGGGTGTTTACCGCCGCATACATGAGGCTGCCCACCAACGAGTGAAATCGGCGCCTCTCCTCTTCTCCAACGCTCTCCTCCTCTGGCCCCTTCACACACTTGAACCCAGAAGGAAAGGGAGTAGCCACATGACCTTCACTCTGGCCGAAGTTGGCAACCAACGCCTCCAGATACTTCCGTTGGTGCACTCGCATGCTCCGCTTCTCCACGTCTCGTTCGATGTGGAGCCCAAGGTAGAAGTTTACGTCACCGAGGGACTTGCACTTGAACTTGTCATGCAGCTTCAGCATCACCTCCTTCACAAGGTCAGAGGAGGGTGAGAATATGAGAATGTCATCCACATAAACCACCATGAAGCTCCTCTGCTCCCCCTCGCCAAGCATGAACAAGGAGTGATCGGCCGTGGTGTCTGTCTCGACCGACGAGGCGACAGGTCGGCCGCAGTTGACGTCTCCGTCGATTGCGACCGTCGGCCGGTTGCGAAACAGGTTTCGCAACCGTCGACCGTTAGCGCCACCGTGTAGGCGATGCCCTGGCGACTTGCCACCGGGTGTAACCAGTGTTGTCGGGGGTGCACGGTGCTCGACGGCGATTGGCCAATGTCCGTCGAGCACTGTTCGACAAATGTCCCCGAAATTGCAACAGTGCGGCTGACATATATATTGGCATAAGAATACGACATTGAACCCGCGGGTTTCGGAGGGTTTTTTGGCCTGGTCAGCCGGGAATTTCCGGGGGCCCGGAGGGATTCGGAGGGTTTTTCGTTTTGCCTCAATTCCCTTTGTGCCAGGGCGGGCGGGGCGGCATGTGATGACGTCACCCGTGTGTATATAATAGGTTGAGTTTGGCCCTCGCACCCAAAACCTTGGCCAATTGTGTTGCTCGCTCCAACCAAGCTTCCTAAGGTTGAAGTTCTTGGCCCGCGGGTTCTCAATGCAGTCATGTGTATGCATGAATTCACAGATTTCCAAATGCTTCCATCATAAGCACCTACAGTGCATTGCATTTAAAGAAGCCGTTGCTCTTCTAAAGGCTCTTAAAACGAATGTTATACCTCTGTACTATAAAGAAGCCATTATAGAGAGAATCCAGTGTAGCTCATACTGTAGCCGGCCGCTGTGGTAGCAACAGATTGTAAAAAGCATCGCGGACGAAAAAATCGGCCCCACCGTCCGTCTTGGCCTTTCGCCAAGCAACCCATCCACCACTCCTTATCGCCTTCAAATCCTCCCCGCCGGTATAATGCGGGTCGAGAATCAGAAATGCGCACTCCCCCGTCGCCTCGTCATAGTCTACACCTAATAGAGTGTATGCGAGAACCCCGCCTCCTATCATTACCGGGGTGCCTTGCGTGGAAAAATGGTGGGCTAGTTGCCGGCCATTAGAGGGCATATCTGCTCCGGATGGGACTGTGAGGACTTTACATGTGACCTGGTGGGGGCCGGTAGGGGAGGAGAGGGGGGATGAGGAAAGAGGGGTGCAAGAATGGGGTATGACTTCGGTGGTGAGTGGTAGGCTAGTCACGTGATATGAGTAACTTCTTGAGACATCTCAAAAAAAGTTACTCACATCGAATGGGGTATGACTTCAGTGGTGAGTGGTAGGTTAGTTGCTGGCCCAAAGAGTACATGTCTACTCACCCACTTCCCACCATTGTTCCCCCTCTCTCCCCCTCCTCCGACCTGCTCCTCCCCTCTACCCCCCCACTCACCCCCAGCAGGTGATCCAGGATGAAGCTCAGCTCTCACACCGATCCTATGCCATCCGCTCACCCACTTCCCACCGGCATCCCACCAATTGGCTCCTACCCGTCCCCCCCAACCCCGACTCACCTTGAGCAGGTGATCCAGGATGAAGCTCAGCTCTATCACACCGATCTTCTGCGCTAAACTCACCCACTTCCCACCAACCCGCATTGCCCTCCCCTCACGTTCTGCCCTCTCCCCCCCCCTCCCCCCTCCCCCCTCTCCCCGACTCACCCCCAGCAGGTGGTCAAGAATGAAGCTGAGCTCAGTGGCGCCGATCCACTGCCCTGCTCTCTCCCACTTCCCACTATTGTCCCTCTCCCCCAGCAGCTCACCCCCACAACCCAACCCCCAGCAGCTCACTCCCACAACCCAGCCCCCAGCAGCTCACCAACACAACCCAACACCCCCAATCTCACCCCCAGCAGGTGGTCGAGAATGAAGCTGAGCTCGATGGCGCCGATCCACTGGCTAGACCCCACAAACGCCGCGTCCTTGTCCCCTATTTCCACCAGCGCCTCCTGAATGCACCTGGGGGCGTGGGGGGAAGGGGAACAGGCACGAGACGGCGGGTGAAAATGGGGGAAGAGGCGCAAGGGGTGATCCAGGATGAAGCTGAGCTCGATCTCACCGATCCACTGGCTGGACCCCACAAACGCCGCGTCCTTGTCGCCTATCTCCACCAGCGCCTGCTGAATGCGCCTGGGGGGCATGGGACGGGTGAGAGAAAGGGGAGAGGAGGAAGAGAGTGGAAAGGGAAGGGAAGAGGGGAATAATACTTCCATGGCTCCTTGAATCCACTGGTAGGAATTTGAGATGGTTGGCCCTGAAGACCGTGTTTTTTGAGAATTCTAAAAAAACACGCTCTGATGGTTGGCCCTGAAGACTTATGTGAGCGGCAGTTAGAAAGATACTTTTAGCAAAGGAAGACAGTGATACTCTCTGTGTGTTGTCCCCTGCTTAAAGTGCCAAGAACTTGAGGAACTCTCAACAGGAGAAATAACACTTTCGTGGCTCCTTGAATTCATTGGTCGAGAGTTGAGATGCTTTGTGAGCCAATGGACGTATCAAGGCTTTGTGCGTGCAGGCAGGCACAGCGATTGAGGTGAACTGCTGAATGCAGTTTGACTGAGGCATCTAAAAACATGATGCTTCTGCGTGTAGAGAGGGTGTTTTCGATTGAGACGTCTCAAAAACACCCTCTCTACACGTTTGATTGAGGCATCTAAAAACATGATGCTTCTGTGAGCTGGCAGGCTGTGTGCGTGCGGTGCACCTGTGCTGTGGTGTGGCTCAGCATGGCGAGTGAAGTGTACTGCTGAGTGCGCTTTGAGCAGTTTCAACGCTTGGTTTACCTGTGGGTTGGCACGGGTAGTGATGTGTATTGCTGAATGCGGAACCACGATACGATGGTCTGCAGAGAGCGATAGGCGCAGCCCCACCCCTGTACGGCAGCACGCAGAAAGCCAGGGATTAAGCAGAGGTGAAGCAAAGAAGACTGGAGAGGGAAAGGGTGAAGTGAAGGGAGAGGAAAGATGAGAAGACAGAGTTGAAGTACTGAAATTTGAAACGAGTGGGGGCAGAGAGATGTGGATATGAAAAATTGCGGAGGTTGGGAGAGAAGGAGAGGTGGAGGGAAGGAGGGAGGGCCAAAAGGTGAAAAGGATGAGGAAAATAGGAGTGAAGGGTGAAGACAAGAGTGGAAATCGAGCAGAGAGTAGTGAAGGGTAAGGGAAGCAAACTCATGCCTTTTGAGTCAACTAGAGAAACACGTGAGGAAAATAAATTGAGAGCAGTGAAGGGTAATAAAGCAAAACTCACGCTGTCATCGATCCTGCCTTGCATGTAGTGGTAATACTCGTATGAGCCCTGCACTAGGTACTGTTTAGACCCTGCGTAGAAGGGGAGGGAGAGATGGTGAGAGAAGGGAGTGAAGAAAGAGAGATGAGCAGTTAAGTCTGAAAGAAGTGTGTTTGATTTGATTTGACTCGTGGAAACAGCTGAACACATGTACACAGAAACAAAGCTTAGAATTACTATACATAAGCATCATAAGCATATACATATATACACATATGTACTTTCACTCACATATACTATACAGAGATATTCTATATTGAGGATGGATCTTCTACCTGCGGAATGTGGCAGACGAGGAAGGCCCACGTGCACATCCCAGAGACGCAGACCTGTCAGAGGCAGAGAGGTGGGAGTGGAGGAGAAAAATACTCAGATCCTAAACCTTAAACCTTGCGAGAAGGAACATCAGCAGGCAAGGCAAGGCACGGCAAGGCAAGGCAAGGCAAGGCAAGGCAAGGCAAGGCACAGCAAGGCAAGGCACGGCAAGGCAAGGCACGGCACGGCAAGGCAAGGCACGGCAAGGCAAGGCAAGGCAAGGCAAGGCAAGGCAAGGCACGGCAAGGCAAGGCACGGCAAGGCAAGGCACGGCACGGCAAGGCAAGGCACGGCAAGGCAAGGCAAGGCAAGGCAAGGCAAGGCAAGGCACGGCACGGCACGGCACGGCACGGCACAGCACGGCACGGCAAGGCAAGGCACGGCACGGCAAGGCAAGGCAAGGCAAGGCAAGGCACGGCACGGCAAGGCAAGGCAAGGCAAGGCAAGGCAAGGCAAGGCAAGGCAAGGCACGGCACGGCAAGGCAAGGCACGGCAAGGCAAGGCAAGGCAAGGCAAGGCAAGGCAAGGCAAGGCACGGCACGGCACGGCACGGCACGGCACAGCACGGCACGGCAAGGCAAGGCACGGCACGGCAAGGCAAGGCAAGGCAAGGCAAGGCAAGGCACGGCACGGCAAGGCAAGGCAAGGCAAGGCAAGGCAAGGCAAGGCAAGGCAAGGCAAGGCAAGGCACGGCAAGGCAAAGGCAAGGCAAGGCACGGCAAGGTACGGCACGGCACGGCAAGGCAAGGCACGGCAAGGCAAGGCACGGCAAGGCAAGGCACGGCAAGGCACGGCACGGCAAGGAAAGGCAAGGCAAGGCAAGGCCCGGCAAGGCAAGGCACGGGCAAGGCAAGGCACGGGCAAGGCAAGGCACGGCAAGGCAAGGCAAGGCAAGGCACGGCACGGCAAGGCAAGGCAAGGCACGGCACGGCAAGGCAAGGCACAGCAAGGCAAGGCAAGGCAAGGCACGGCACGGCAAGGCAAGGCACGGCAAGGCAAGGCAAGGCAAGGCAAGGCACGGCAAGGCAAGGCAAGGCAAGGCAAGGCAAGGCAAGGCAAGGCACGGCACGGCACGGCACGGCACGGCACAGCACGGCACGGCAAGGCAAGGCACGGCACGGCAAGGCAAGGCAAGGCAAGGCAAGGCAAGGCACGGCACGGCAAGGCAAGGCAAGGCAAGGCAAGGCAAGGCAAGGCAAGGCAAGGCACGGCAAGGCACGGCAAGGCAAGGCAAGGCACGGCAAGGCACGGCAAGGCAAGGCACGGCAAGGCAAGGCACGGCAAGGCAAGGCACGGCAAGGCAAGGCACGGCAAGGCAAGGCAAGGCAAGGCACGGCAAGGCAAGGCAAGGCAAGGCAAGGCACGGCACGGCAAGGCAAGGCACGGCAAGGCAAGGCAAGGCAAGGCAAGGCAAGGCAAGGCACGGCAAGGCAAGGCAAGGCAAGGCAAGGCAAGGCACGGCACGGCACGGCACGGCACGGCACGGCAAGGCAAGGCACGGCAAGGCAAGGCAAGGCAAGGGAAGGCAAGGCAAGGCACGGCAAGGCAAGGCACGGCAAGGCAAGGCACGGCAAGGCAAGGCACGGCAAGGCAAGGCACGGCACGGCAAGGCACGGCAAGGCAAGGCAAGGCAAGGCAAGGCAAGGCAAGGCACGGCAAGGCAAGGCAAGGCAAGGCAAGGCACGGCAAGGCACGGCAAGGCAAGGCAAGGCACGGCAAGGCAAGGCACGGCACGGCAAGGCAAGGCACGGCAAGGCAAGGCAAGGCAAGGCAAGGCACGGCAAGGCAAGGCAAGGCAAGGCACGGCAAGGCACGGCAAGGCAAGGCAAGGCAAGGCACGGCAAGGCAAGGCACGGCAAGGCACGGCAAGGCACGGCAAGGCAAGGCAAGGCAAGGCACGGCAAGGCAAGGCAAGGCAAGGCAAGGCACAGCAAGGCAAGGCAAGGCAAGGCAAGGCAAGGCAAGGCAAGGCAAGGCAAGGCAAGGCACGGCACGGCACGGCACGGCACGGCACGGCACGGCAAGGCAAGGCCAAGGCAAGGCAAGGCAAGGCAAGGCAAGGCAAGGCAAGGCACGGCAAGGCAAGGCACGGCAAGGCAAGGCACGGCAAGGCAAGGCACGGCAAGGCAAGGCACGGCAAGGCAAGGCAAGGCAAGGCAAGGCAAGGCACGGCAAGGCAAGGCAAGGCAAGGCACGGCAAGGCACGGCAAGGCAAGGCAAGGCAAGGCAAGGCACGGCAAGGCAAGGCACGGCAAGGCAAGGCAAGGCACGGCAAGGCAAGGCAAGGCAAGGCACGGCAAGGCAAGGCACGGCAAGGCAAGGCACGGCAAGGCAAGGCACGGCACGGCAAGGCAAGGCACGGCAAGGCAAGGCACGGCACGGCAAGGCAAGGCACGGCAAGGCAAGGCAAGGCAAGGCAAGGCACGGCAAGGCAAGGCAAGGCAAGGCACGGCAAGGCACGGCAAGGCAAGGCAAGGCAAGGCAAGGCACGGCAAGGCAAGGCACGGCACGGCAAGGCAAGGCAAGGCAAGGCAAGGCACGGCAAGGCAAGGCACGGCAAGGCACGGCACGGCAAGGCAAGGCACGGCAAGGCAAGGCAAGGCAAGGCAAGGCAAGGCACGGCAAGGCAAGGCAAGGCAAGGCAAGGCAAGGCAAGGCACGGCACGGCACGGCACGGCACGGCACAGCACGGCACGGCACGGCACGGCACCGCACGGCACGGCACGGCACGGCACGGCAAAGCAAGGCAAGGCAAGGCACGGCAAGGCAAGGCACGGCAAGGCAAGGCACGGCACGGCACGGCACGGCACGGCACGGCACGGCACGGCACGGCTTCAGAGGCTTTTCAGAAGTGACATGACAAGGCAAGGTAAGAAATAGCATGGCACCCACCCTTTGAGAAATTTGAAGGATTTTTGGGGCGCTTCTTGAGGATTTTCGAGGTGCCTCAAAAAGGGTTTCAGTGGCATTTCAGAAGTGACATGACAAGGTAAGGCAAGCAAAGGCTCGACACCCACCTTTTGAGGATGCATGGGTGGCGTCCGGTGCCGCAGTGTGGGTTAGCGAGGGAGAGAGACGAGATGGCATGACCAGGCACGGCATGGCAAAACAAGAAACGGACGGGTACCCACCTTTTGAGGATGCTTGGGTGGCGTCCGGTGCGGCAGTGTGGGTAGCGAGGGCGAGAGAAGAGGCAATGCGCAGCATGGGGCGGTCGAGGGGCAGGCCCAGGCGGTGGTGCAGTGTCATGCGCATGTCCACTGCGGTTGGGGAAGGTGGTGCGGAGTATGGGGTGTGGGAAGTGTATTTGTGTGGGGGAGAGAGAGGGACGAGGCAAAGCACAGCCTGGGGCGGTCGAGGGGCAGGCCCAGGCGGTGGTGCAGGGTCATACGCATGTCCACTGAGTGAGGTGTGCAATTGGGGTTGAAGGGGTGGGGAGGGGGATGAAAGTAAGGAGCGGACAAGAGGACTAGGGAATGCGCAGCATGGGGCGGTCGAGGGGCAGGCCCAGGCGGTGGTGCAGGGTCAAGCGCATGTCCACTGAGGTGTTGGTTTGGTTTGGTTTGAGGTTTTGGAAGGTTGGGGGGTTGGGCTGGAAGTATTGAAGGGACGGACTATAGGGATGAGGCAATGCGCAGCATGGGGGGCAGGCCCAGCCCAGGCGGGACCAAGCGCATGTCCACTGATCGGAGGGAGAGTGGGAGAACGGGAGGGTGGGAGGGATATAGTTTAAGGCAGGGATGGACAATGCGGATGGGATGAGGCGTTGCGGTGCTTCGCATTCACCCAAGCTGAACGATGCTTTTTATTCTTTCTTTCTTTCATTCATTACTTCATCATGGTTTGGATCTATCTTGAAGAAATCAGAAGACGCGGCAGTGCTCCCTGCTCCCTGCTCACCCACGCTCTGCTGCCCTCCACTCACCCACCCCTCTCTCACCCACGCTCTGCTGCCCTCCACTCACCCACCCCTCTCTCACCCACGCTCTGCTGCCCTCCACTCACCCACCCCTCTCTCACCCACGCTCTGCTACCCTCCACTCACCCACCCCTCTCTCACCCACGCTCTGCTACCCTCCACTCACCCACCCCTCTCTCACCCACGCTCTGCTGCCCTCCACTCACCCACCCCTCTCTCACCCACGCTCTGCTACCCTCCACTCACCCACCCCTCTCTCACCCACGCTCTGCTGCCCTCCACTCACCCACCCCTCTCTCACCCACGCTCTGCTGCCCTCCACTCACCCACCACTCTCTCACCCACGCTCTGCTGCCCTCCACTCACCCACCCCTCTCTCACCCACGCTCTGCTGTCCTCCACTCACCCAGGCTCTGCTGCCCCTCCCCGTACGTGAGAGGGTAGGTGACAGTGAGAGGGTGTGGGCAGGGCGGCAGCAGGAAGTGGTATGCTCCGAACTGAAGGATGTGGGTGGGGCAGGGGGGGCAAACGCATGATGAGAGGGAGCGAGGGAGGAGAAGGGCACGGACGCAGGAGAGTGGGGAAAGGTAAGTCAGGGGCAGAGGGGGGGTTTGGATGAGGTGAGGAGGAGCAGGGAGAGGGGAAGGGGGAAATGGCTGAGCAATCGAGAAAGCAGGAAAGGGAATAGCGGGGTGGGGGGGGGAGAAATGGGTGCGCGTGCTCGGTGGAGGAGCGGCACGGCAGGAGGGATGAGGGGAAGCTGCAGGAATGGGCCTACCTTGAGTCCTAGTTGGAAAGAAATGGCTGAAGCCGCATCTTGCGCTGCATCCCCTGCTGCTCCTCTCCCATCCGCACTTGTTGCTCCTGCCCCCTTCCCCCGCTTCCCCTCCTCCTTCTCGTCTCTCCTGCCCGCTTGACCCCCCTGTCTCCCGTCTCCCCCGCCCCCCACCATCCACTCGATTGCCTTGACTTGCCGCAACAGCCCCGGCACTACAAGACGACGCACCGCCGCCCGGAGAGACAGCTGCTGAGGGGCGAAGACGAGGGTGCTCAGGGACAGGCTTATCTGGTGCAGGTGGATGCTGGGGGCGGCTGGGGAGGACGGGGAGTGGGGAGAGAGACTTTTGAGACATCTCAAATATCTAAGACAAGTCAGGTGAAGAAGTCTTATCTGGTGCAGGTGGATGCTGGGGGCGGCTGGGAGTGAGAATGAGGGGAAGAGCGAGTGAGAGAATGCTAGGCACCACACAAGGCAAAGACGAGGCTGCTCAGGGACAGGTTTATCTGGTGCAGGTGGATGCTAGGGACGGCTGGGGAGGGGAAAACAAGGGGAGTGAGGAGGACAGAGGGGAGGATCCGAGGAGGAGAGCAGGAGGAAGGGAGGAGAACAGGGTGGGGGACGAGGAGAGACATTTGAGACGTCACAAAAGCTGAGAGAAAGGCTTATCTGGTGCAGGTGGCAACTGGGGGAGGCTGGGAGAAGAGAAAAAAGAGAGCGGTCCTCACCCGGGGTGTAGCTGAGGCCAAGAGGTGCACTGTTCTGCCCCGCAGATGCTGACGTGGCAGGTGGCGATAGGTTGAGCAGCAGAGAGACACGTGTGGTTGATGCCAGCTTTGAGGAATCAGCGAGTTAGGAGCACGTGAGGGGGAAGAGGAGGAAGGGAGGGTGGCATGGTGGCAGGACAAGAGAGAAGGGTGTAAGCTCAATACGAATCAGCATCAGAAACATATGCCTTGCGTGGGTCAACTTTTGAGTCAACTCAAAAGTCAACAGAGCCAACATCAGCACCAACTGCAGCAGCAACGCCAGCAACAACATCAGAACCAGCAACACCATCAACACCAGCTAAACACCAGCAGCAACATACTCTTTTCGAAGCTAGCGTCTCTCCTCTTCCTCCCCCTCCTCCCCCACCACCAGCGACCCCTTTTCCCCCTTTCCCTCTCGCACCTCCCCCTTTTCCTCCCCCGTCTCCTCCTCCTCCCCCCTTTCCACCTCCCCCTTCTGCTGACGTCAGCAGATCACCACACACCATCCCCTCTGAGGTCCCCCCACCATCTTTGCCACGTGTCATGCTGCCATTGGCTGCTGAGGTTCTTCCGTTCGGCAGAGAGCCAATCAGGATCGGACGCAGGGCTCCTGCAGCAGTGCTAGCAGCTGATGCTGAGCTGGCAGCTGCTGACGTGGCAGTGGAAGGCGGTTGTGATGGGTGCAGCAACCAGAGGGCGTGAGGGCTGATGACGTCGGCTTGGATGGCAGAGAGAGATGCGGATATTGACGATGATAAGGCTGGCGAATAGGGTATATGGAGGGGATAGGGGGGAGAGAGAGGAAAGGGAGGGAGGAGGAGGGGGGTTGGGGAGAGGTTCGAGTCGACTCAAAAGTCACCTGAAATAGATGCAGATACTGACGAGAATAGGGCTGGCGAGTGCATATGGAGGGGATGGGGAGAGAGAAAGAGGATGGGGGGGAAGGAGGGGAGGGTGGGAGGAAGGGAGGGTGGGCAGGGGAAAAAGGCGAAACCGGAAGAAGTAGAGGCGAGGGGGGAGAGGCGGAAGGGGAGAAAGAAGGGGGAAGAATTGGGGGAATTGGAATGAGTTGGAGTGTGCGGCTAGGTGGAGTGGGTGATGAAGCAGCACAGAGGGCATGGCATAGGGAAGGGGGATGAGGGACGGAGGAGAGGCGGGATTGGAGGAGAGTAGAAACAGTCGGTTGAAAGAATGAGATCGAGAAAATGTGTGGGACAACCGAGAGAGGAAGGAATGGTGAAAGAATGTATCTGCCGAGTGATGGAATGAAGAGCAGCGGGGCGAAGCTCACTCACTTTGCTTGTCGTGGGTGAACAGTGGCAGGGTGGCTGCCACGTCACACACCAGCGGACAGTGCGCCGCCCAAAACTCCTCCTCCAGCTGATTATTCTCCTTCCCTGTAGCACCACTCGCACCACTAGCACCACAAGCTGCACTAGCACCACCATTTCCATTACCCCCTTGACCCGTCACCACCTCTACCTCCACCTCAGCATTCTCACTCTCCTCTTCCGCTTTAAGCTCCCATGCCACATCAGCTTCACTCTCTTCTTGTAGCTTGTCGTCTCTCCTTCCCTCCTCTTCTCCCTCACTCTCCATCCCTATCCGCTCCTGTTCCTCATCGTCTGTGATATCCTGTCCCCACCAATCAGCAGGTGCCACGTCACTTTTTCTCAACTCAACTCCCGCCATTAGAGATATCCTCGGAGGGATTTCACCCGACGCGTCAGATTTCCACGTCACAATGAACGGCCGGCGCGCCAATGCCACGTCGTGAAAGATTCGCCGAAATTCGGTGATCTGCTCCTTTATAAGCGCCTGATTTTCCAGGGTTAACTCCCCTCTCACCGCAACCCCGACAACTGTGAGTCCTCCAGGAAGCAGCGGCAAAAGAGCTCGCGCCTCGGACTTGGCGACGTCGCCTTTGTCGCCACGCTGCTGGACTGCGACGTCGCCTTTGTCGCCACGCTGCTGGACTGCGACGTCCCTGAATCGCGGGTCTACGAGGATGCAAGAGAGGACGGAGCAGGAAGGGCGTGGGTCGCGACATGGGAAGTAAGATGCGGAGGAGCCAACTAACCAGCCGAGAATCACGGGTGCGGACGACTCTATCGACGAATCAGAGACGGAACGCGGTTGCCTTGAAATGGCGGATCGGAGCGACGCGATCACCTGCTCGTGCAGGCGAACTACAGCGGCCATGGCGGCAGCACTTGTGCTGTGCTTGTTTGAAGGTGGATGATTTGTGTGTTCTGAATGATGCATATTTTGGGGCGTCAAAGAGATTCACGTTCAATGCGGCTTGATGAGATGCTTTGCGTGGCAGAACGGTTCGTCTACACTCTAAGCGGTTTTCTGACTCCGCTCCAGCCAAGACTCATCCCTGATCAACTGCACGAAGGATACAGTAATGGTAACCGATTTTGTGCGACGGTTACATGGCTATAAATGGCGAAGACGAATACTTCTGCGACCGCAAGTGCGAAAAGGGGTGCAATCTTGGTTCACACAATCCGCACCCCCGCAAGGTTTCATACAAAAAAATCTAGGTGGTTGACGCGACAACTCCAAGGCTGGAATGGCAAAACCAGGGTAGGCTCAACCACTGATGTGCCAGCCGGGAATCGAACCCGGGTCTGCACCGTGCTAGCATGGCAGGGTGCTATTCTACCACTTTATTTACAATGTATATGTGTACAAAAGATACAGACGAATTTGAGCATCAGGAGGCTACCTAACTAGCAATGGCCCAACTGCAATCCTAGGTTGAGACCCCCAATGAGGTCTCAAGAACCAACACCAAGGTACGCAAAGTCAGCCAAGGAGGGTGGGGTGGGATCTGGTGGGGCGGAGGGTGTGTCAACACTGTAACGAATTTGTGTCCGACGGCAGATGGTTCGAGCCTGCTCACGCTGGTGCACCAAGGAAATCCTCTTGAAGTAGCTAGTCTCGAAGAGCTCTGGAATCAGGTCAGATGCACCACCCATGTCACGAAGTCGAGTCGCCCCTCGTCTGCTGCAGTCTTTGATGAAGCTGAGAAATGCCGTGCTGAAGCAACCGAAGGTTTCAAGAACGAGAGGAAGAAGCTTCACGTCTGGGCGGTTTTGTAACGAAGATGCATACAGGGTCCGCTTCTCAGTTTCGCGAGCAGATGCAGCTGAGCCAATTACTGATGCAGTCTTGGAGTTTGGGGGACCATGCTGCGGGTCTGCAACTGAAACATCTAATGCCCACGTAGTCCCAGAGCTGATGTCACGGCAGCTGATGTCTGGGCGACGTCCTGAAAGAAGGTGGGAGTCCTCCAGCTGTACGACGTAACCAAGCTCGGACGTGATGCGATGAACCTCATGCTTGATGGCGTCATGGACCCTGGTAGGCTCGTTAGAGGATGGGCAGCGGAGGACGTGAGAGACGACTGAAGGGTCTGTGAATGCCGAGCCACAAGTGCATGTGCGGGTGGTCGTGAGGTGTGGAATGGGGAGGCCAAGACGAATAGCGGCTGCAATACACCACTCCGTAGGTGACAGCTGCATGTGCGAAGAACATGGAGCCACAGTAAGCCAATCGCCAGCATGGGGCCCTTGTAGGGAGGTTAAACGGGCCAAATGTTGGGGAGAGGTTACTGTGGATCGCACGCGCTCGAGCATGACAGCCTCCAAGTGCTGTGAAAGGTAGGAATATAGCTTCTGTGGATAGCCAGCGTGAAGTGCGGGCCAGGTAGGGAAGTGCTGCCGAATGGAAGGATGAAGTTTGGACATGGCTGTGGGAATGCATGGGTCAAGGCGGTCCATGGTGTCTGAAGCGATGAAGGGACGGAAAATAGGGGAGCCATGAATGGTGAAGCATGACGAGAGGAGTGAAACTGTCTGTGCCCAGCTGCATAGGTAACTGAGAGAAGCAGTTGCAGCTGAAGAACGGAGGCCGAACCCACCGAGGCGAATGGGAAGGAATGGCTGTCGGTGTGCTGTGGCAGTGTGGTCAAACGCAGGAGGCCAGTAGTCAGAGCCGATGAGGCGAACAAAGTGGTCCAGCAAGGTGTTGTCCCAGTCAGTGTAAAGCTCTTCTACCTCGGGAAATGGTGCAACTGTGCGGAGGAGGAATGAGGGACGGGCGGAAATGCAGAGAGTAAGGAGGCGGGAGGCAGTCTGTGGATCATGAAGGTCATGTAGGAGAGGCAGTGATGAAGAGAAAGAGTGCAGTTTGTCTCGAACTGTGGAGATAATGTGGGTGTCCGATCCGATAGGCACTCCTGCAACCGTGAGACCGTTAGGGGCAATGATGATGTCTGATGGAGGTGTGAGGTCCGAAGGGAGGTCCAAAGGGGCCCAGAGGGAGCATTTTGATGGTTGCACCCTCAGGCCCAGGTCATTGAGACGGGCTGTAAGCGCTGTGTAGGCAGGAAACACGTCATGCGCAGGACCGACCATGTACGTGTCGTCTGCGTAGGAGGAGATGAAAAGAGCTGGAGATTGACGCTGGATGGGGCGAATGGCTAGGTGCTGGGTGAGGGCGAACAAGAAAGGCCCGCATGGGTCACCCTGTCGAACACCCGATGATGACTGCAGTGTCTCGATTAATGGGCCGCTGCGGTAATGGAGAGAAGAGGGGGAGGCATAGAAGAGGCGGAAGAAAGGGATGAGGCTGGAGAATGGGGAGTCTCGCAGGGCGTTGAACATAGCGGAACGGCTGAAGGAGTTGAAGGCGTTGGCAACATCCAGTTCCAGCACAACCCACTCTGGGTGGAGGGAGAGGGCCGACTGGACTGCATGGGCCATAACCTCGATCCCTGCGGAGACAGCGACCCCAAATTGTAGGGAGGGAAGGAAGAAGTCCCGGATCTGCTGCTTGAAGTGAAGAGTAACGCAACGGGACAGCAGGCGCGGCAGTATCTCGCCGATGGCGATGGGGCGGACCCCTCCATGCGGCTTCTGGAGGGCAACAAGATTAGATGCGGTGAAGTAAGGTCGAACTGTTTGCGGGAGGTCGCCTTGCAGCCAATTGTGGAACAGGCGGAGAAGATGCGGCAGATGAGTCTGGTACGAGAGGAAGGTGTCGCGAAGATGCTCGATAAGCCACCCCGAAGGGCCAGCAGCTGTGCCTCGTGGGGCTGAACGCAAGGCCTGATGAAGAAGTGGAATGGTGAGCTGAGGCACTTCCGAAGGCGAGAAGTCGGACAGCCAGTCTGGAAGTTTTTCAGTAGTAGGAGGGTGCTTGGCCTTAAGCGCAGTAACAGTTTCAGGGGTCGGTGGGGCAAGCTCGCCAGCTTCTAAAGCGGCAAGGGAACGCGACCAGTCCCCGCAATGCGCGAATCGTTTGGCTCGGTTCAGTCGGGCGAACGTGGCTGTGGACCGGGCGGATGAGACACTGTGCGGTCGAGACGCTGGAACGGCAGCAGCGACAGCTTCGTTGAAGAGAGAAAGCCAGTCGCCTTGAATGAAACGACGTGCAAAGGCTGCACATGCTGCTGTGGCTGATTGTGAGGCAGGAGAAATGGAAGAGCGAAGCACCAGACGGGGGAAAGCAAGGAGGAGGAAATGAGCAGCAAGATCTTGCGGGAAGATGGCAAGGCGGCGAAGTGGTATGAGTAAAGAATCCAAGACCAGCAGGCGAGCTCGCGGCGGAATCCGACGCAATAGTGTGCCTGGGGTGACAGTGGGACTGAAGAACGTCCCCCAGTCCCAGGTTACGACATCGTCCCAAGTCTGTTGAGATATCGGTGGGGGTGCTGTAGAGGAGGAGGGAGTAGTAGTGGCACGAGGGGGAGGAGGGCGGGCTGATTGCTGACACGTTGTGTTGTTGCGGGAACAAGCAGAGAGGTGGCGAGTAAGACCACCCGAGCTGGCAAAGTTACGATTACAGGTTTTGCAGTAATATGTTGGGGTCGGGACCGAAGTGGGCAAAGGAGAAGAAGAAGAGGCTGCAGCAGGATGCGGAGCAGATGTCGAAGCAGGAGGAGGAGCAGAAGGAGGAGGTTGTGAAGCTTGCGCAGCTGCAGGTTCAGGTTGGCGAGAAGCGTGCTCCTGGGAGGAGGAGGCTAAGGTTTCAGTAAGGACTTTATGAAGTACGGTCTTCTGTTGTTCTGAAACAAAGCGTGGTGGGGCTGATGACTTAGGGTGTTGAGAAGAAGAGGCTGGGGGTTGTGGAGTATCTGATTCTGGCAATGACGAAGAACGGTGTGTCGTGGCAGAGTCAGTAGGGAGGGGTGACGGACGTGGGCGTAAAGGTGGCTGTTGAATCGGTAGGGTTGCAAAAGGTGGGGATGAACGCGAGCGGTTAGGAGGACGAGAGGGGTGTGGGTCCCGGTCTTCAGGCGTCCTGTCCCGCTTACGGTTTGTCATGGTGAGAAAGTGGATTAGAAAGATTCATATGCTGTGCAGTTAGCGGTTTAACAAGTGTGTCAAATTCGCGTTTGGGAGAGGTAGTAGCGCGGATGCAGCAACGAGATATCATGCAGTGCAGAAGAGGTTTTCGTGGGTAGTTGGGGCTGATCGTGCTGCTGCCGAGGTGCAACGTGCTGGTGCTTGCGCAAATTGAAACACGTGGAAGTGGGGTCGTGTGTGGAAGGTGCAAGTTGGGAGGGTGGGGGAATTCGCGAAGGTGCCAGTCGTCGTGGGGGGTAGAAACAGGTGTAGGCAGGCGTCGTGCTGTCCCCCAGTGCTCGATTACTAGCAAAAACCACGCCGTCGCCGAAGGAACTCCTCTCCGCGTCGGACGCTAGTGAGTCTGTCGAGTGAGCTAAGGGTGGTGCCGACGTGGAGAAGCACTGTCAGAGTAGTAGCACGATTCGAATTTCGTCCGCAGCACTGTCAGGGTAGTCGTGCGTAGGGTTTCTCGCAGTTTTAGTGTATGCGTGCAAGTCGCGGCGCTTATTTACAGTACAAAAGAAGGTGCAAGGTCGCTGTTTTCGCTCCTTAGCGGTGAGTAGTGAGTTCTGCTGCTTTACTCGAGTGAGCAGCAAGGCGAACTACGAAAACGAAGGGCGTTCTAGCGCCTTAAACGTTGCTGCAGCGAGCTTGAGTGACGGTGAGGCAAACTACGAAAACGAAGGGCGTTCTAGCGCCTTAAACGTTGCTGCAGCGAGCTTGAGTGACGGTGAGGCAAACTACGAAAACGAAGGGCGTTCTAGCGCCTTAAACGTTGCTGCAGCGAGCTTGAGTGACGGTGAGGCAAACTACGAAAACGAAGGGCGTTCTAGCGCCTTAAACGTTGCTGCAGCGAGCTTGAGTGACGGTGAGGCAAACTACGAAAACGAAGGGCGTTCTAGCGCCTTAAACGTTGCTGCAGCGAGCTTGAGTGACGGTGAGGCAAACTACGAAAACGAAGGGCGTTCTAGCGCCTTAAACGTTGCTGCAGCGAGCTTGAGTGACGGTGAGGCAAACTACGAAAACGAAGGGCGTTCTAGCGCCTTAAACGTTGCTGCAGCGAGCTTGAGTGACGGTGAGGCAAACTACGAAAACGAAGGGCGTTCTAGCGCCTTAAACGTTGCTGCAGCGAGCTTGAGTGACGGTGAGGCAAACTACGAAAACGAAGGGCGTTCTAGCGCCTTAAACGTTGCTGCAGCGAGCTTGAGTGACGGTGAGGCAAACTACGAAAACGAAGGGCGTTCTAGCGCCTTAAACGTTGCTGCAGCGAGCTTGAGTGACGGTGAGGCAAACTACGAAAACGAAGGGCGTTCTAGCGCCTTAAACGTTGCTGCAGCGAGCTTGAGTGACGGTGAGGCAAACTACGAAAACGAAGGGCGTTCTAGCGCCTTAAACGTTGCTGCAGCGAGCTTGAGTGACGGTGAGGCAAACTACGAAAACGAAGGGCGTTCTAGCGCCTTAAACGTTGCTGCAGCGAGCTTGAGTGACGGTGAGGCAAACTACGAAAACGAAGGGCGTTCTAGCGCCTTAAACGTTGCTGCAGCGAGCTTGAGTGACGGTGAGGCAAACTACGAAAACGAAGGGCGTTCTAGCGCCTTAAACGTTGCTGCAGCGAGCTTGAGTGACGGTGAGGCAAACTACGAAAACGAAGGGCGTTCTAGCGCCTTAAACGTTGCTGCAGCGAGCTTGAGTGACGGTGAGGCAAACTACGAAAACGAAGGGCGTTCTAGCGCCTTAAACGTTGCTGCAGCGAGCTTGAGTGACGGTGAGGCAAACTACGAAAACGAAGGGCGTTCTAGCGCCTTAAACGTTGCTGCAGCGAGCTTGAGTGACGGTGAGGCAAACTACGAAAACGAAGGGCGTTCTAGCGCCTTAAACGTTGCTGCAGCGAGCTTGAGTGACGGTGAGGCAAACTACGAAAACGAAGGGCGTTCTAGCGCCTTAAACGTTGCTGCAGCGAGCTTGAGTGACGGTGAGGCAAACTACGAAAACGAAGGGCGTTCTAGCGCCTTAAACGTTGCTGCAGCGAGCTTGAGTGACGGTGAGGCAAACTACGAAAACGAAGGGCGTTCTAGCGCCTTAAACGTTGCTGCAGCGAGCTTGAGTGACGGTGAGGCAAACTACGAAAACGAAGGGCGTTCTAGCGCCTTAAACGTTGCTGCAGCGAGCTTGAGTGACGGTGAGGCAAACTACGAAAACGAAGGGCGTTCTAGCGCCTTAAACGTTGCTGCAGCGAGCTTGAGTGACGGTGAGGCAAACTACGAAAACGAAGGGCGTTCTAGCGCCTTAAACGTTGCTGCAGCGAGCTTGAGTGACGGTGAGGCAAACTACGAAAACGAAGGGCGTTCTAGCGCCTTAAACGTTGCTGCAGCGAGCTTGAGTGACGGTGAGGCAAACTACGAAAACGAAGGGCGTTCTAGCGCCTTAAACGTTGCTGCAGCGAGCTTGAGTGACGGTGAGGCAAACTACGAAAACGAAGGGCGTTCTAGCGCCTTAAACGTTGCTGCAGCGAGCTTGAGTGACGGTGAGGCAAACTACGAAAACGAAGGGCGTTCTAGCGCCTTAAACGTTGCTGCAGCGAGCTTGAGTGACGGTGAGGCAAACTACGAAAACGAAGGGCGTTCTAGCGCCTTAAACGTTGCTGCAGCGAGCTTGAGTGACGGTGAGGCAAACTACGAAAACGAAGGGCGTTCTAGCGCCTTAAACGTTGCTGCAGCGAGCTTGAGTGACGGTGAGGCAAACTACGAAAACGAAGGGCGTTCTAGCGCCTTAAACGTTGCTGCAGCGAGCTTGAGTGACGGTGAGGCAAACTACGAAAACGAAGGGCGTTCTAGCGCCTTAAACGTTGCTGCAGCGAGCTTGAGTGACGGTGAGGCAAACTACGAAAACGAAGGGCGTTCTAGCGCCTTAAACGTTGCTGCAGCGAGCTTGAGTGACGGTGAGGCAAACTACGAAAACGAAGGGCGTTCTAGCGCCTTAAACGTTGCTGCAGCGAGCTTGAGTGACGGTGAGGCAAACTACGAAAACGAAGGGCGTTCTAGCGCCTTAAACGTTGCTGCAGCGAGCTTGAGTGACGGTGAGGCAAACTACGAAAACGAAGGGCTAAACGTTGCTATTCTACCACTAGACCACTGGCACTCATTTGGTGGAGACGTTGCTAGCATAAAATACTTTACACAATAAACACTGGCACTCTACTTTCGTCCTAAATGTTGCAGTCAAAGCCGTTTGGTGGCTTCTTTCAGACGTTTCCAGGGCTCCGCATAGTTCCAATCTGGCTTGTCTTAGCTCCTTGGCTCCTTAGCTTCAACTGACTTGACACGCACGGTTAGCCATGGCGCGTCGCGACGAAAAGAAGCGACGAAAGCGAGACGATTCAGACAGCGAGGATTCAGATGAGCGCAGGAGACGGAGCAGGAAGAGCCGGAAATCCCATAAAGACAGTGACGATGACGATTCTAACGAGGATGCCTCAGCGTCAGACTCTGACGGTGATCGCGGCCGCAATCGCAAACGCCGAAGCCGCGGTAGCCGGAAAAAGAAGCAGCGAGGAGGTGACTCTAGCGAGAGTGACGATAGCAGTCGGAGCCGAAGCCGCAGCAGGAGCAGAAGCAGGGGACGGAGCAAAAAGGGCAAAAAGGACAAAAAAGAACGGAGAGAGAAGAGCAAGCGGGATTCGCGCCGGCGACGCCGGGAGCGGTCGGATTCGGAGGGATCGGAGAGTTCTGGTGGTAGTAGCGGGAGTGATAGTAGCGAGGGGAGTCCGTCGCGTGGCGGGAGGGGCGGGAAGAAGGTTTCGGAGGAGGAACTGAGGGAGTTTTTGGCGAAGCGCGCGCAGAAGAAGGCGCAGAAGCTGGCGAAGAAGCTCAAGCCGAACGCGGTGTCGGGTTACACCAACGACAGTAACCCGTTTGGCGACACCAACCTCACTGAGACGTGAGTGGCGCGTCGTAAGGTATGAGAGTATGAGATGAGTTGTAAGGTGACGAAGAGACGTGGAAGCTGCTGCTTGGTGCAGTGCGAGAAAGCAGTGAAGGAGATTTTTACGTCAGGATGTGGAGAGGGAACGAAACTGGCAGAAAAAGAGCCTGCTGATGCGCGTACGCTTGCCCTATTGTGTTGCCCTCCCTCCATCCGTCCCTCCGTCCCACCCGCCGCTTCCCCTCCGTCGCTCTCCCACACCCCCCCTGCCTCCATGCCCGCAGGTTCGTGTGGCGCAAGAAGATCGAGAAGGACGTGCTGCGAGGCACGCTGGACCCGCGGGAGATCACGCTGCAGAATGAGAGGAAGCGCCTCGAGGCCCGCATGGTAGGTCTGCTGCTGCTGCTGCTTCCGCTGGACTGATAAAATTTATCGATTAAAGGCTGTTGTCTTGATTCCAGGCTTGCCGTTCCCCATCTTTAAGATCTCACCTGTGCTCACTCCTCATCTGATTTCTTGCCCACCCGCACTGCCTGCCCCCTGCCTACATTGTCATGTCTGCCCGTGTGTGTGAGAGCAGGAGGAGATTGAGAAGGTGAAGAAGCGGCGTGAGGAGAGGATGCTGGAGAAGGCACAGCACGACGAGGAGATGGTGAGTGGTGGGGAGAGATGGTGAGTGGTGGGGAGAGATGCTGGCTCATTGAGTGGTGGGGAGAGATGCTGGCTCATTGTGTGTGCATGCTTTCTTATTAATGAGCCAGGCCTTTTTATCTGTTTTTCCCTTTCATTTTTGAGAGGTATCAAAACTTCTCTTCCACGACTGAACCACACTCCTTTTTTCTTTTTCTTTTTTTCATCTCGTGCGTGTGTGGCTGTGACTGTCTGTCTCTGCCGGATTGTCTTTGCCTGTGTGTCTGTGCCTGTGTGTCTGTGCCTGTGTGTCTGTGCCTGTGTGTCTGTGCCTGTATGCCCGTGCATGTATGCCCGTGCATGTATGCCCGTGCATGTATGCCCGTGCATGTATGCCCGTGCATGTATGCCCGTGCATGTATGCCCGTGCATGTGCATGTGCATGTGTGCGTGTGCGTTGCTGCTACAGGCCATGCTGGCGCGTGAGAGGGCTCGAGCCGAGTTCCAGGACTGGGAAGAGAAGGAAGACGAGGTACTGCGTCTCACTCACTCACTCACACCCTCACACTCACTCGCTCACACACTCACACACGCACTTAAACACACACAGCACATGCATGCGCGCGCGCACACACATTCTCAGTCCTTCATGCACTATGAGTTACTCTCCTGGTACAGTACACTCGGTCGCTCAATAGTCATGCCTCTCAACGTGCTAGCAAGGAACCCACCCCATACAACCTTTCCTTTCCCCCCCTGCCCCCTTTTCGCTCAGTTCCAAGTCAGGCTAGGATCACGTCTCCCCCCTTTCTCCTTCCTTCTTTTGAGGCGCTTCAAAAATCAGCGTATGTTTTTTGAGAATTCTCAAAAAACATACGCCTCAAAAATCACCTCACACAACCCCTCCCCTACTTCCCTGCCCCATTTCTCTCATCAGGCTAGTATCACGTCTCTCCCCTCTCCCTGTTTCCTTCCGCCTTGTCACCTGCCACTCCTTTATAACTGCTCCAGTTCTCACCCTCTCTCACCCTCTCCCATCGCCTCCCACCCCTTCTCACCGCTCGTCAACCTCTCTTACCCTTTTTCACCTGTTTTCACCCCCTCTCACCCCTCTCTGTTCCGCTTAGAGCAAAGCCGAGTGCGCTCGGAGATCCGCCTGAGGGAGGGGCGAGCAAAGCCCATCGATGTGCTGGCGAGGACTATGGGGACTGTCTTGAAAGCCCTATCACCCGTTTTCACCCTGTCGCACCCCTTATCACCCACTCTCACCGCTTCTCACCCCCTCTCACCGCCTCTCACCCCTCTCAGTTCCACTTTGAGCAAAGCCGAGTGCGCTCTGAGATTCGTCTGAGGGAGGGGCGGGCAAAGCCCATCGACGTGCTGGCGAGGAACCTCACGCTGTCTGGGGACTTTGATATTGAGGTCAATGAGCCGTACAAGATCTTCAAGGTGGGTTGGTTGGGGTGTCTGTGTGTGGGGTGGATGGATACCAAAGGCCAAGGATATTTCTGAGTTGACGTGCTGGCGAGGAACCTCACGCTGTCTGGCGACTTTGACATCGAAGTCAACGAGCCGTACAAGATCTTCAAGGTGGGGTTAAAGTCTAGGGAATGCGCAATGTCAAGGGAACTGTTTGTCAACTTAAAAGCCCATTGACGTGCTGGCGTGGCGAGGAACGTCACCTTAAGCTCTCAGGGGACTTTGACATCGAAGTCAACGAGCCGTACAAGATCTTCGAGGTAAGTCGTCTGGGTTTGGGGAATGCAAAAGATTAAGGCGTTGGGAGGGGAGGGGGTGGTCGTTCTTTCTAGTCTATTGATAGCCTGACCCTCTCAGGGGACTTTGACATCGAGGTCGACGAGCCATACAAGATCTTCAATGTGGGTTCTGTCTCTGTTCATGCGTCGTCATGTTGTTTTTGAGTCGACTCAAAAGCAGATTCTGTCTCTGTGCATGCGTCGTCATGTTGTTTTTGAGTCGACTCAAAAGCAGATTCTGCCTCTGTGCATGCGTCGTCATGTTGTTTTTGAGTCGACTCAAAAGCAGATTCTGCCTCTGTGCATGCGTCGTCATGTTGTTTTTGAGTCGACTCAAAAGCAGATTCTGTCTCTGTGCATGCGTCGTCATGTTGTGACTTTTGCAGGTGGCGAGCTTGTCTCCTGTGTGGTTGGTTGGTTGTCTGTTGTCGTCAGATTGCTTCTTGTCCTTCATGTGTCCATTGTGCATGTTTGCCTGTACTCACTTGCAGGGCCTGACAGTGAAGGAGATGGAGGAGCTGAAGGAGGACATCAAGATGCACCTTGAGTTTGACCGCAACAACCCCATGCACCAGGAGTTCTGGAAGGTACAGAGGGGTTCTGGATGGTTCAGGGAGCGGGTGGTTATCGTTCGAGAAGGTGTAGAGGGGTTCTGAACGGTGCAGAGGGATGATGAAGGTGCAGAATCACCGTAAATGCGTCATAGGATGAAGGTGGGTCTGGCTGGTTTCGTGCTGCTTGCGGGTCCTGGGCTTGCATTAATGCAGATGGCACGAGACAGCATCAATTGGCTTGTCTCTCCCATCTCATTAACGGGACCTTTTCATCCATCATCCTCATTTCTCTTCCCATCCCTTCCTCTCCTGCCCTCCGCCCTCCCACCCTCCTGCCCCCCTCCCGCCTGCCCCTTTCCAGGCGATGATGATGGTGTGCAATCATGAGATAGCAGAGACGACCAGAGGAGACATCATCCACCTTTCCGAGTTTTTCCAGCGTCCATCCCCTTGATCATCCTCTTCCCCGCCTACAGGCAATGATGGTGTGCAATCATGAGATAGCAGAGACGACCAGAGGAGACATCATTGACAGGGCGAGAGTTAGGGGGAAGAAACCGCACCGTTCCTAATCCTTCTCCCGACGCTTCACCCCGTTGACCATCCCCCACCTCCCCCTTCGTTCCAGGCAATGATGGTGGTGTGCAACCATGGGATTGCAGAGACGACCAGAAGAGACATCATCGACCGGGCGAGAGTGAGAGGAGAGGAACCCCCAGAAGACGTCTTAGAGGAAGAGAGGGGGCTGCACTCAGCAGTCAGTCGGGGCAGACGTGGCCGAAACTCCCACATCCTCATTCTCTTGTACTTCCACTCCCTCCTCCCATCCCCTCCCCCCCCCTCCCCCCCCTCCCCCCCTCCCCTTCGCCCCGACCCATCCCTTCAGGCAATGATGGTGGTGTGCAATCACGAGATAGCGGAGACGACCAGAAGAGACATCATTGACCGGGCGAGAGTGAGAGGAGAGGAACCCCCAGAAGACGTCTTAGAGGAAGAGAGGGGGCTGCACTCAGCAGTGGGGGCAGACGTGGCCGAAACTCTTGCCGTGGCGGGCAGCGAGGAACTTTCGCGCATGGAGGAGCGGATCGCCGGGCAGATGGAATCGGGCAGCGCGAAAGTTGTCGAGTACTGGGAAGCCGTGCTGAAAAAGCTGAAGGTTTTCAAGGCGAAGGCGAGACTGAGGGAGATTCATGCGGATCTGCTGCGGCAGCATTTGGCTTTGTTGGAAACGGGAGGGGTGGCGAGAGGGGAGGGAGAGGGAGAGGAGGGAGGGGGGGGGGGAGGGGAGAGGGGGAGGGAGAGGAGGGGACGGGCAGGGATGGGAGGAGGAAGAGGAGGAGATTGGTGGTGGTGCTGCTGCTGCTGCTGCTGCTGCTGCTGGTGGAGGGGGAGGAGGAGAGGAGGGAGAGCCTGGGTCGTTCTCGCCTGAGTTGCTGACTATGGAAGAAGCAGCTAAGGAGGGGTATAAGGAGGGAGGAGAGGGAGCAGCAGGAGGGGGAGGAGCGGGCGCAGAGGGAGGGTTTTCACCAGAGCTGATTCACACGTATGAGGTGGATGGGACAGACGTTGTTGACCCTGAGGCGGATAAGGCAGAACTGGTGAGTGGTGTGTGAATGAGGACGAGGATGGAGCTCATTTACACGTATGAGGTGGAGTGGATGGAACAGACGTTGTTGACCCTGAAGCGAACAAGAGAGATACAGAAAAAGGGTTAAACCTGGGATGTGTGTCAAGGAAGGGAGGGCTTTCTCCTGAGCTGATTCACATGTATGAGGTGGATGGGACAGACGACGTTGACCCAGAGGCAGACAAGAGGGAACTGGTGAGCACTGGGACAGGGGACAGGTGAGGTGGGGGAGAGAACACTGTGAAGTTGGGAGGTGGCAGGTGGTGGGTTGATTGATTCACATCACACGTATGAGGTGGATGGGATGGGACAGACGTTGTTGACCCTGAGGCGGATAAGGCAGAACTGGTGACTGCCGTGCCAGGGGATTTAAACCCGAAACCACTGAACGTTTACGCTTATAAAACTACTATGCATGTAAAACTTTTACCCACGTCTACTCCACGACTCCCTCCCTTCTCGTCCTCCCTCCTCCTCGTCCTCCCTCCACGATTCCCTCCCTTCTCGTCCTCCTGCTCTCCCCTCATCAGCTTTTGAGTCGACTCAAAAGCATTCCCTCCCTTCTCGTTCTCCTGCTCTCCCCTCATCAGCTTTTGAGTCGACTCAAAAGCATTCCCTCCCTTCTCGTCCTCCTGCTCTCCCCTCATCAGCATTCCCTCCCTTCTCGTCCTCCTGCTCTCCCCTCATCAGCATTCCCTCCCTTCTCGTCCTCCTGCTCTCCCCTCATCAGCATTCCCTCCCTTCTCGTCCTCCTGCTCTCCCCTCATCAGCATTCCCTCCCTTCTCGTCCTCCTGCTCTCCCCTCATCAGCATTCCCTCCTTTCTCGTCCTCCTGCTCTCCCCTCATCAGCATTCCCTCCCTTCTCGTCCTCCTGCTCTCCCCTCATCAGCATTCCCTCCCTTCTCGTCCTCCTGCTCTCCCCTCATCAGGAGCGCAAGAGGGCACAAATTCAGGCAGACCGGCAGCGCAGCGTCCTGGAAGCTTCTGGCGCTGGTGGTGGTGACGTCAGCGCAGCAGAGAGGGCTCTGGTGGTGAGGGCGCCTGCTGACGTGGCAGCAGCAGGGGATCGCCAGCTCAGCGCGGCGGATAAGGCCGCAGCCAATAAGATGATGGGGCAGGATCCTGGTGACGTGGCGTTTGGTGCAGGGGCCGAGGTGCCTCTTGAAACTCAGGTGAGAAGTCAGGTGCAGATGCAGGTGAAAAGTCAGGTGGAGCTCAGGTGGGAAGAAGTCAGGTGAAAATCCAGGTGAGAAGTCAGTTCAGGTGGAAACTTTAACCAGGCTGGGTTGTTATTCATATGAACCTTAAGGTTGAATTCCGGTTGAACAAAAGGCCACGTCACCAGTCCAGGCTGGCATTTCCCAACCGGAGGAAACTCTTCTACGGTCTACCCTACCCCATGCATGTGTGCTTGCATCAGGTGTGCTGGTGTGACTTTTGAGTCAACTCAAACTTCAACCAGAAGAAACTCTACTACCCTACCCCATGCACGTATGCGAGCATCAGGTGCATTGGTGGCACAACAAGTATCGGCCACGCAAACCCACACGCTCAACAACCCCCCTGTCTTCCCTCCACCGACCCTCACCACACCTCTCTGTTTCTCCATACATCAGGTGTACTGGTGGCACGACAAGTACCGGCCGCGCAAGCCCAAGTATTTCAATCGGGTGCACACGGGGTACGAGTGGAACAAGTACAACCAGACGCACTACGACCACGACAACCCGCCGCCCAAGATCGTGCAGGGCTACAAGTTCAATATCTTCTATCCGGATTTGATTGACCGCTCCAAGCCGCCCAGTTACCACATCGAGAAGGACGGCAGCGAGGACGGCGAGACTTGTCTCATTCGCTTCCACGCCGGGCCGCCCTATGAGGACATTGTGAGTGGCTCTCTCTGTTTTGAATTATTATCATTATTATTATTATTGTTACTACTATTATTATTATTATTGTTACTACTACTATTATTATTATTGTTATACTCCATTCATTTTAATCATGCCATGGTCATCATTCCCTTCATCCCAGTCATAGTATTCATGTCTGTCCAGCAGATCCTTTTTACATGTGTCTCACTCTTCACCCTGTCTAGCAGGCATTCATATTTCCATACTTCCACCCCCACTCTCCCCTCCCCCTTTTCCTGTCAGGCATTCCGCATAGTGAACAAGGAGTGGGAATACTCGCACAAGAAGGGCTTTAAGTGCACGTTCGAACGCGGCATTCTGCACGTCTACATCAACTTCAAGCGCCATCGTTACCGCCGATAGGCTCTGTTGGACCTGTCGCTCCTGCCGATCGTCGCTGTCATGCTCTGGACGCTGTGTAACGATCGTGCTGTTATGGTGTTAACAGCGTTACTGCGGTAATACGGTAGTGTTACGGCATGCTTGAATACGGGCTTCTGCACATCCACATTAACTTCAATCGCCAATACCGCTACTACCGTACTGATAGGACCTCTCATGCTGTGGAGGCTTGTCCGCTTGTCTTGTCGCTACTGTCGATACGGAAAGCTGTCATTTCGTACCGTAGTTGTCGACCCGAACCAAACTACGGTAATCGACTCAAATTGATTGACTCAAGCTGTACAAGGTTCGATCAACCCCGATCAAGGCAGTTCTTTGCTCATGCCTGTCACATCTGAAGAATTCCTTGCAGGGATGCTAGGTACAATGAAGGTACCTGCCTGACTTTTGAGTCACCTTTGCTCATGCCTGTCACACCTGTAGAAGTCCTTGCAGGGATGCTAAGTACAATGAAGGTACCTGCCTGTCTGGCCAACGTCTTTTGTTCAGTTGCATTGCATTCTTACTGCCGGCGTTACAAACAAGAGCATAAATCGGGCCTGATACAGTACGCTCACAGGAAGATTGTACCTTTCCACCTGAAAATCCAATGAAAACCTTATGCAACTGAAATTCACCTCCTGTGCCACTGAAATTTCCTCCTTCCCTACCCTCCTATCCTCCTACCCTCCTAACCCCTCCTCTCCAGCCTCCTGTACCACAGCCTGATTGTCAGGACGAGGCCTTAACTAGCATCCATGCGTTTCACCCTTCTGCATTCCTCTCCCGCATTCCCTGCCATGCCTGCATTTACGCCTCTCCCCGTGCCTTCCTCCTGGCCTCCAGGCTCCAGCACCTCTTCAGCAGAAGCAGGCATCCGCCTGTGAAAGGCAACCATGTTCTCAAGCTCACTCGTATGCAGCGTCTCCAGTGCCCCGTGCTTCTGTGTTACATCCCGCTCCCTGCCCCGCGCGTCTCTTACGCCTCTCCCCGTGCCTTCCGCCTCGCCTCCAGCACCTCTTCAGCAGAAGCAGCCATGCATCGGTGGAACGCAACCATCTCCTCCAGTTCACTCGTATGCAGCGCCTCCAGTGCCCCATGCTTCTACACTGCCCCATACTGCTGCAAAGCCCCACACTCACATTCGCTACACCTCTCATGACCCCACTAAGCCTCTCCCCGTGCCTTCCGCCTCGCCTCCAGCACCTCTTCAGCAGAGGCAGCCATGCGCCGGTGGAACGCAACCATCTCCTCCAGCTCGCTCGTATGCAGCGCCTCCAGTGCCGCCCGCGCTGCGGACCGCTGGTTTCGTCTCCGTTCAAGTTCGTCTTTGATGTGGGATGCGTTGCGCACTGTAGCGCCCACCTGAGACAGCCGCTTCACCTGCTGCCCTGACAGAGGCGTCAGCTCCTGAAGGGGACGAGGGTGGAGGGAGGAGAGAGAAGGGAGGAAGGATAAGGGGTGAGGGAGGAAGAAATATCGTACAAAAAAATACATAGATATTTCAGTCGAAACGTTTTCTTTTTCGTTTTTTTAACAGAAGCGGCCCAGCCTCGGGTTGCACACCGTAGTACGAGCCTGTCACCTTGAAGAACAAGGCTCACCTTGAGGAACGAGGCCCCGATCGCCAGCTCCTGCTTCTCCTCTGGCAGCGTCGGCAGCCCTCCCAACCCTCCTGCTGATCCCCCCGCCTGCTCTCTCCGAATCGCCGCGAGTGCCGACGTTCCGCCCTTCTCCGTGGCGTTACGGCGCAGCACCACCCTCTCCTCGTACACCACCTTGGCCGCATGGAAGCTCTTTTGAATGCGCAGCCGCCGCCTCTCAAGCTCCTCCTCCCACTCCCGCCCCTGCTGCTGCTTCTTCTGCCGCTCCTCTGCCTGCGCTTCTGCCGCCGCCGCTGCCGCCGCCGCTGCTGCTGCTGCCGCCCCAGGAGTTTTCCCGCTGGCTGAACCCACCCCTGCCCCTGCCACTGCCCCTGCCCCTGATGCCATGCTGCTTCCTCCTGTTGCTCCCGCCTCTCCTGCTCCTGATTGGGATAGAGCAGCCATGCCAGTGGCTAGGCTGTTGGTTGCGTCGGCAGCAGCGTCAACTGCGGCAATGGCGGCTGCAGCAGCGGCAGCGATGCTGGTGGGAGGGGCTGTGAGGGCGGCTGGGCGGGGGATTCTCGGCCGCACCTTGTGCTCATATGCCACCACTGCTGCCACGAACTCCTGAGTGAGGGTATGAGGGCGTGCAGGAGTGTGTGAGGGAGGAAGTGACTGAGTGGGTGAGGGCGCGGTGGAGCACAGTAGACATACAGTTAGAAATCAGCGGGGTTACAAGCATCCAAGCGTGTTACAACTAACGTCCCACTGGCCTGCTATGGTGCCTAGTGGGACACTCGACTCAGTCCACTCAAACCCCTCCTGGCCCGATCTGGCCTCTGAAGAAAGAAAACCAGAGGCATTCGCGTAGTGAACCCTGAGGCCCACCCTGAGGCCCAAAGGGAAAGACAGCACCAGCAGCCGAGCATTCAGCCCAGCACGCACCTGGTACGCCCTGGGGCATTCAGGGTACTCGAAAACCTCTCTGGGCGAGCTGGGGCCTCCCCCAGGCGCCACCTCCCCGTCCTGGAAGCGCCTCATGCGCTCCGGGTGGAACTGTAGCCCCACAAAGAAGCCCCCTCGGGGCGGGCAGTGCACGTCCGGGTCGTAAAACGCCTCTATCAGCCCGTCCGCTGCGAATGCCATGGGGCGAAATCGAGAAGCGAGAGTTCTCACGCCCTGTTGTGAAGAGGGAAGGGAGGAGAACGGAGAAGTGTTGAGACGTGAAACAGCAGCAACACAATTCTTGAGGTTCCTCAGAAACAGACTCCCCGTCCTGGAAGCGCCTCATGCGCTCCGGGTGGAACTGCAGCCCCACAAAGAAGCCCCCTCGGGGCGGGCAGTGCACGTCCGGGTCGTAAAACGCCTCTATCAGCCCGTCCGCTGCGAATGCCATGGGGCAGAACCGGGAGGCGAGGAGCCTCACGCCCTGGTGTGGGTGCGAGGAATTAGGAAGAGAATGTTAAGTCAGCGCGTGCTGTCAAAGTGCAGTGTGACAGATAAGTGCTGCGTGGTGGTATCTGGTGCTGATAACCTGTACCCTCACCCAGTGGCGGGTGAGATCTCACCTGGTGGTGGTAACTTGAAATCTCACCTGGTGGTGGTAACCTGAAATCTCACCTGGTGGTGGTAACTATTGACGAGCAGCTCGTTCTCCCCAGTGGCCTCACGGCTCTTCTCCAGCGACCCCTCAAACCACTCCGCCAGAGGCGTCTCCGGCACCACAAAGATGGGATGGCGGTGCCCGTCTGGGGTGGAAAGAGAGGAGAGGAGAGGAAACGCAAGGTGCATGAATCTCCAGCAACCCCTCAAACCACTCCGGCAGAGGCGTCTCCGGCACCACGAAGATGGGGTGGCGATGCCCGTCTGGGGTGGGAGCGGGGGCGGGAGGAGAGGCGAGGAGATGAGAGATATGTGAGACGGAAGGTGCTTGAATCTCCAGCGACCCCTCAAACCACTCCGCCAGTGGCGTGGCGTCTCCGGCATCACGAAGATGGGATGGCGGTGCCCATTTGGGGTTCCGGGTTTTAAAGCTAAAAAAGGCAAGAGGAGGGGAAAGTGATGGGAGGGGACTGGGAAGGCGCTTGAGTTACCACGAAGCTTTTCAAACCATTCGCCAGAGGCGAGTTCGCACCACAAAGGTGGGGTGCCGCTGTCCGTTAGGGATGGGAATTTTTTGGCGCCTCAAAAAGTTACCAGGAAGCTTTTCAAACCATTCGCCAGTGGCGTGTTGACACCACAAAGGTGGGGTGCGACTGCCCTTTTGGGATGGGAAGGGGCGGGAGGTGAGGAGAGGAGAGGAGAGGAGAGGAGAGGAGAGGAGAGGAGAGGAGAGGAGAGATATGCGAGACGGATGGAGCTTGCGAAACCAGGAAGCCCCTTAAACCCATTCTTTCACATGAAAAACCGTCAACGTTCCATTTGACAAATTCCAGATTCCTACACGAAGGCCCTCACCTCACTTTCTCAACACCCAAACACCCCTTGTCATTTCTTCCCTCTTGTGTTCTCGCTCTCACCATAGTCACTGTAGTCGATGTGCTTCAAGTCGAGCCCCTTGCGACCTCCGTTTCACACGCACACACACACACTCAACACACACGCACACACTCACTCTCTCACACACACACACACGCACGCACACACACACACACACACACACACACACACACACACACACACACACGCATACAACATTCCCTGTTCTCGTTCTCACCATAGTCATTGTAGTCGATGTGCTTCAAGTCCAGCCCCTTGCGCGATGTGACCTCCGTCTCCACGTCCTGATGGCAAGGCACACAGAGAGGCAGGGGAGGATGGGGAGGACGGTGAGGACGGTGAGGAGAAGAAGGGGATGACAAGGAGTGGTGGGAAAGAGCAGACAAAACGGCACGTAGTCGATGTGCTTCAAGCCGAGCCCCGTGCGCGACGTGACCTCCGTCTCCACGTCTTGATGAGGGAGGCACACAGAGAGGCAGAGGAGGACGGGGAGGACGGTGAGGAGAAGGACGGGGAGGACGGTGAGGAGAAGGACGGGGAGGACGGGGAGGACGGTGAGGAGAAGGACGGGGAGGACAAGGAGCCAAGGGCTAGAGAAGGTATCTGTCACTGAAATTTGAGAATCTGGTGATTAATTATCGAATCCAATCAAACGGTGCCTGCAACAGTGCCTCCATAAATGTGCCTGAATGCTGAAAAACCTTGTAGAGAGAGATCCTCCGAATGCTTGACTTTTGAGGCGCCTCAAAAGTCGTCTCCATAAATGTGCCTGAATGCTGGAGTACCTGGTAGGCTGGTAGGGAGAGAGATCCTCCGAATGCTTGACTTCGCCCATGAATAAACCACCAGAAGTGTTTTGAATTTGGAAGGGGATGGAACAATAGGTCCACTGTAGGTCTCGTCTGAGAGATATGGATGCAGTACCTGGTAAAGGGAACCTCCAGACGCCACGTTGAGCACTTGGCTCCCGCGAGGTACGGAATCGAGCGCTCCAGGCACCTCCTTGCGAGCGACAGCTCAATCGAGTCCTTGGCCTTGTCTACATATGAAACGATGTTACCTGGTAGAGGGACCCTCCTGAAGCCACGTTGAGCACTTGGCTCCCGCGGCAGATCCCGAGGTACGGAATCGAGCGCTCCAGGCACCTCCGCGCGAGCGACAGCTCAATCGAGTCCTTGGCCTTGTCGATCGCCGTGTCGCTGGCGTGCGCGGCGCGGATCTCCGCGATTTCCTCGGGTGACAGGTCAGCAGTGAGCTGGCTGTCGTAGAGCTCGGGGTCGATGTCCTCGCCCTCGCACAGCAGCACGCCGTGGATTGGCTCGAACGCGTCCAGCAGGGACGCCACGCCGGGGACACGTGGCACGATGACGGGGACCGCGCCGTACGCGACGATCAGATCGAGGTGGTATTCCCCTGCGCACGGAGGGGTGGAAGGTGTGGTTTCAGATGAGAAAAGGATTGGTTTCTCGTCAGATTTGTTTTGAGTCGACTCAAAACTCACGGGGACCGCCCCGCATGTGACGATCAGGTCGAGGTGGTATTCAGCTGCGCACGAGGGTTGGACGGTGGGGTTTCAGATGAAAAAAGGATTGGTTTCTCGCCAGACTGAAGCTTTGGGTGAGTCGGATTTGGCGAATCGTACAAGGCATGGCAGAAAGTTGCTTTCTGGTGAGCGATGCTGTTGCTGGTGACTCGAATGAGGTTCTGGGAGAAACGTATATGTCAAGTCCGAAGGGCTTAAGTGTCTCTGAGTCTCATATTCTCGTTCCTGGACTTCCCAGAACCAAGAGACTAAGCGGATGTCTGTACGTTCAGCTCAATAGCAGCAGCAACCCATCTTACCTACGAAATCGACGAACTTGTTCTTGCGAAGCGTCCGTCGCGACACGATCAGGACACGTGGCAGGCCCTCGGACAGCTTCTCCGCGTCCTCTTTAGCCGCGTTGCCCACCTCAGGATCCACGTCATCGTCCTTGTCCTCGTCATCTACAGGACGGTTCTCGTAATAATCAGCCATGGTGTCAACTATCGCACAAATCAAACTTAATCTCCTATGTCTCCTAAATCCAAGACCAAGAACCTCTGATTCTCCTCGTATTCTTCAAGAAGCGGTCTTGTCTGCACACTGATCCAATAAAGTCCGCTCAGCAATGTTATGCCTTGCGGTTTCGAGAGCAGAACCAAACGTCAACCTAGAACGAATTGCTTGACTTTCTCGGTAATATCAATGAAAGTCACCACACGCAGACCACTGACGCAGATGGTACCTGGTCCTGGTGGCCTATCACCAAGCAGGATTGTCGGTAACTAAAATGGCATGGACTGTAAGGTATGGCTTGGCAAATGTCACCTTGAATCTGTCTTCAAAGACTCTCTGAGATACTCTCCATGACCATGGTGGGCTGTACTGTGCTTGTGCCTCGGAAGAAATCTCTAGGCGGGAAAATACTTCGCCATCTGTAATCAGCTGAATTTAGACTCTTGGAATTCTCAAAAGGCAGCGCCGCCTGACATGACATTGGAGCTGACGGCAGCTGAGGTGGAAAGGTCAGAGCCACGTGGACTGGATGAGGCTCTTCCTCTCGGGGATTCGCCAGTACTGCGACCGCGTTTCCACGTGGAAGAGTTCCATGTAATGCATGCGCATGTGGGGCACAGCCAAGCCAAACTCGCCACGGGTACAAATCCTTGCTATGAGAAAACTCATTTCCACGCAGTATGCAAAATACGGAACAAATTAATAAGTTTACGAAACAAAAATACACCATTTCCCAACTACCATTGCCTTTTCCCCTGCAACGCTGGCAGTTCCTAGGGTTTCCCCCGCCACACAGACCTGATAGCTCAACCCTCACTCCACTCCCCTCCCATCTTCTCCTTCACCCCAGCCTCCACTCCTCCGTCCCTCCCTCTCCAGTCTTCCCTCCTCTCCTCCCTCCCCCTCTCGCGCTACCAGCAATAACAAAAGCTGCTGCTCCACCAGGTTTTGGTTCTCTTTTTCCAACCAGGCTTTCTGGTTGGCGTAGTCTACCGTTCCAGTGCATCCCTCTCGCCAGAGCGGAGCACGGAACCTCGCATTGTTGGACTCCCATTTCGCGTCGCTTTTTGCGTCTGTATTTCTGTGCTCTCGTGCGCGTGAGCTTGCTCCAACGCGTCGCGTCGCTTGTCCCGTTTTGTTCCGTTCCCCACGCGAGGGTTTAATCCGCCATGGGGAAGAAGCTCTTAGCTGAGAATGCGGAAAATTCAACGGGAGGCGCAATTACTGAAGTGCGAAATGCGGACGACAAGCGAGAGGCTAAGAAGGCCAAAAAGGAGAAGAAACTTAAAGCCGAGAAGAAGCGGAAACAGGAGGAATTAAGCAGCGAAGCCCCGGAGGGAGCTGCGTCGGCTCCAGCGAAAGGCGAGAAGAAAAGCAAGAAGAAGCAGCGAGCCGATGGCGTGTCTTCGCCAGGTGCTTCCCCCGATTCTTCCACCGACAGAGTGTCCTCACCCCCCGCCGCCTCCCCCGCGGCGCCTCCCGCGCCGGTCCACGCGAAACTCGAGAGCTGGGCTGACGTGGACGTCCGCGTGGAAGGTTTGGAGATTGACGGCGATTCGTCCTCCGCGGCGTGCCAACCTCTCCGCCCGCTGACCACGTTCGCGGAAGCCGCGCCGCAGGTCCCCGCGGATCTGCTCTCCGCGTGCGCGTCGTTCGCGTCCCCCTCCCCCATTCAGCGCTGGGCGTGGCCCGTGCTGCTGCGCGGGCGCGATTTGGTCGCGGTAGCGGCGACAGGCTCAGGGAAGACTCTCGCGTTCGGAGTGCCCGGGCTGAAGCACGTGCTGGAAGTGCGCAAGGCGGGGGGAGGCGGAAAGGGGAAGCAGCGTGGGTCCGCGCATCCGTCGATGCTGGTCGTTGCGCCAACGCGCGAGCTCGCCCAACAGGTGGGGGGAACTTTTTGGGCGGGAAATGAAATCTGCGCAAATTTGCGGTGAGGCTTTCGCTCGCTTCCCCATCCTCCTCTTCCGCTAGCCGTCCCAAATTCCTAGTTTTCCCCCGTCTGATTCTCGTTTCCCGCCAGATCGCGGAGGTGCTAGAGGCGGCGGGGAAGCGGTGCGGCGTGGGGGTTGTGTGCGTGTTCGGCGGCGCGTCGAAAGGCGGTCAGCGGGCCGCTCTCGCGCAATCGCCTGGTGTCGTGGTGGCGACTCCGGGGCGCCTTAAAGACCACATGCAGGACGGCACCATCTCCCTTGCGGCGGCATCCTTCGTGGTGAGGATCGGTACAGAGCGATGTGAAGGTGCGCAGCTTGGTCAAGTACGGCGTGGCTCTTCGCAACAACGTCAGGTGCTGGACAAGGCGGATCACGTGCTCTCTCGGCATGGCCTGGAGCTGTTCAGTTCAAGTGACCCTGATTATCTTGGATGCTTGTGTGATTGACGTGTGTGGTTCACGTGTGTATCCCTTGTTTAGACTCACGTACCTCCTCCCACCAACCCCAGGTGTTGGACGAGGCGGATCGCATGCTCGATATGGGCTTCGAGCCTATATTTCCGTGGCTCTTGGGACGCCTCAGAAGGCAATTCTCGTAAATATCTATGTGACACTGCCTGTACCCTCATGGCTCCCCGCCCCACGAACAGGTGTTGGACGAGGCGGACCGCATGCTCGACATGGGATTCGAGCTGTTTGGAAAGGAAGTTATTTTTATAGTAATCCGTTTGACCCTGCCTGTACCCACGTGCCTCCTCTCTCCAAGTGTTGGACGAGGCGGACCGCATGCTCGACATGGGATTCGAGCCCGACATGGATGGAAGGGGTAGTCCCTAGTATCGTTTCATGTGTCTGTAACCCTGCCTGTACCAACGTGCCTCCTCTCTCCAGGTGTTGGACGAGGCGGATCGCATGTTCGACATGGGATTCGAGCCCGACATGGAAAGTAGGGACCCGGATCGTAAATAACCGTCTGACCCTGCCTGTACCCACGTTTCTCCCCGCACCACCACCACCAGGTGTTGGACGAGGCGGACCGCATGCTCGACATGGGCTTCGAGCCCGACATCCGCGCCATTCTCCAAGCCACGCCGGCTGGTGAGTCAGTCCGGTAGATGTGCCTTAGCAAAAGGAGAGTTCTCGAAAGGGGCAGAGGCGCGTCAGAAGAGGGAGGGTGCTAGACATGGGCTTCGAGCCCGACATCCGCGCCATTCTGCAAGCCACGCCTTCTGGTGAGTCAGTCGTGTGTACAGTACACGCTAAATAGCTTTGGCGGGAGGGTATATGCGCCCTAGAGAAGGAAAAGCTCGGGGGCAGGGGGGAAAGGGGAGGGGGAGTATTTACGGAGGAAGGTGATGCGTGATGCGATCATGCACCGTTAACTCAGCTTAATGTTTGCCAATAGTCCTCCTCATTACTCAGGTTTGTGCCACGTGGCCATTTTCCCACCTTCCCCACAATCCCTATGCCCGTTCTTCCTGCTGCTCTTGTGCCACGTGTCAGACCGCCAGACTGCCATGCTGAGTGCCACGTGGCCGCCGGAAATCTCCAAGCTGGCCAGCGATTTCCTCAGGAACCCTGTCAAGGTAAGCTCTTGAGAATTCTCACAAGTACCATTACAGAACCTATCAAGGTAAGCTCTTGAGGATTCTCAAAAGTACCATCAAGGAACCCTGTCAAGGTAAGCTCTTCCGCATTTCTTCAGTTGAAGCCTTTCTTGGATGTGCAATCCGATTCTCCACAAACAACCCTTTCAGTCTTCGCCACTCGGATGTGCATATGCAGTAGTACTGTGTCTGTGATGGATTTACTCTGCTTTTTCTTTCGCACTTTCCTATCTTGCAATGGCATTGCACGGCACGGCATGGCATGGCATGGCATGGCATGGCATGGGATGGCATGGCGTGGCGGCAGGTGATGGTGGGGAGGAGCACGGGGGGCATGTCAGCCAACGACGATGTGACGCAGATAGTGGAGGTGGTGGAGCCGTGGCAGAAGAACAAGCTGCTCGTGTCGCTGCTTGAGAAATACCACAAGTCCAGGAGGTGAGCGGAATTGAGAGCGGTTAAGAGCGATTCTGCGCGGCTGTGTGCAGCTGGCATATAAAGGGTATGAGAAGGCAAGGTGCAGTGATCACAGGGGCAGATATTGGAGGTGGTGGAGCCGTGGCAGAAGAACAAGCTGCTCGTGTCGCTGCTCCAGAAATACCACAAGTCCAGGAGGTGAGCAAGCGGGAATGAGAAGGAGCTGCTGATGCTGCTGCTTAAAAAATACCTCAGGTACGGTCGGTGAACGTGAGAAGCAGTTAATGATGGGGGTGTGGAGGGGGGAGGAGAATGATAACATGAAGTTATTGTGCCATACATACCCCAATATGGTTTAGATGAGAGATTAGAGCTTTTTGTTGTTGGCACAACGCTCCCTCAGGGTGGAGTGGAGTTTTCCCCGGCCAAGCTCAGAATCTTTTTTCTGTTTTTTTTTTTCTTTCTCTTCTCACATTTCTTATTTCTTCTCACCATCTCATCAAATCGAGCAATGGGGATGGCTGGCAGCAAAGATGCGTCTCAATTTCCCGAGTCTGAACCTCCCCCTTCCTTTCACTCTTAGTGGAGGAGAAGGGAGGCAGTGCTGCTCGTTTATTGCTCCTGAGCTGCTACCCTTTGAAGCCACACCCACGTTCTTATATACATGATACATGCGTTGTGTCATCTATTCACACATGAATTTCGTGATTTCATCCCGCCATGCAATCGGATTGGCAGCAAAGATGCTTCTCAATTTCCCGAGTCTGAAGCTTCCTCTGTTCTTCACTCCTAGTGAAGGCGAGGGGAGGCTGTGCTGCTCGTTTAATGCTCCTGAGCTGCTACCACGTCTAACACGGCTAACATCCATACCAACATTCGTTCCAATGCTCTTCACTCCTAGTGATGGAGATGGCAGCAAAGATGCGTCTCAATTTCCCGAGTCTGACGCTTCCCGCCATTCTTCACTGCCAGTGAAGGCGAAGGGAGGCCATGCTGCTCGTTTATTTCTCCTGAGCTGCTGCCCTTGGGGGTTATGTAGATGCCACCCTATTAATCAAGTCACGGCGTTTTTGTGCTGCCCATGCATACATCATACACGCCTTCATCCATACATACACACGTACAGCTCATCATCCCGCAATGCAATGGGAAGGGAGCAAAGATGCGTCTCAATTTCCCAAGTCTGACGCTTCCCTCCGTTCTTCACTGCTAGTGAAGGCGAGGGGAGGCTATGCTGCTCGTTTAATGCTCCTGAGCTGCTGCCCCGTTTAGCCACGCCCACATTCATACTTACATTCGTACAAAAGCTCTTCACTCCTAGTAATGGGAATGGCAGCGAAGATGCTTTTCAATCTCCCGAGTCTGACGGTTCTCTCCGCTCTTCACTCCCAGTGAAGGCTTAGGGAGGCAGTGCTGCTCGTTTAATGCTCCTGAGCTGCTATTTCTTCACATCATACTATCATCCCATCCCATCCCATTACGTTAGCCCAGCATTGGGGAAGGCAGCAAAGATGCGTCTCAATTTCCCGAGTCTGAACCTTCCCCCCCTTTCACTCTTGGTGAAGGGTAAGGGAGGCTGTGCTGCTCGTTTAATGCTCCTGAGCTGCCCCACATCAAAACCCTATCCCCACACATATAAGCATATGCCTTGGTGGTGGTGGTCGATATGCTGTGTGCATGTGTGCATGCGCTCATGGGTTTAGAGGAAAGCCCTCCAGCCAGCCATCGTGTTTGTGATCTACAGGGCAGAACTGAAACCACCTCTGCTCGTGTGTGATTAATCTCTGCTCTATACGTTGCCCTCCCTATTCAGTTTTTGCTTTACAGAAGCACTCGAAGCAATCTTACCTTCCCTCCCTTTGTTGCCTCTCTGGCCCCTCTTTCCCCTTCGCCTCGCCCTGACTTCCTGTGCCTCCACCTCCTCCCTCCCCCTCTCCCAGCAACCGCGTGCTCGTGTTTGTGCTCTACAAGGTGGAGGCAGCACGTATCAACCCTTTCTCCTTTCCCTTTCCCCCCATTATTTGCCCTCCATCCACTACCCACCCTCCCTCCCTCTCCCTCCCCTCCCAGCAATCGCGTGCTCGTGTTTGTGCTCTACAAGGTGGAGGCAGAACGGATAGAAGCGTAACATTCTTTTCCATCCTTCCTCCCTCTTCCTCCCTCTACTCCCGCTCCCCTTTGCTGCCCGCCTCCCTATCCCCCTCGCAGCAACCGCGTGCTCGTGTTCGTGCTCTACAAGGTGGAGGCAGAGCGGATTGAAGCGCTGCTGGCATCGCAGTAAGTCCGCCTTCACGTTTCCTCCCTCTGTCTGCCTGCTCGCCCGCCCGCCCGCCCGCTCGCCCACCCGCAGCCCGCCCACCTCTCTCCCTCCCTCCCTCTCTCCCTCCCTCCCTCCCTCTCTCCCTCCCTCCCTCCCTCCCTCTCTCCCTCCCTCCCTCCCTCCCTCCCTCCCTCCCTCCCTCCCTCCCTCCCTCCCTCCCGCTCTCCCTCCCACGCTCTCTCCTTCTGCACACTCCATCTCACACCCCCTTCATTGCCCTCACTGCTTGACAAACCAATCTCAAGAACTCATACGAGCACACTCTGTCCTCCCTCCTGCATGCGTCTCTCATCTCTCACTTCCCTAATGAGTCGACACAAAAGTCACCTCGGACTGACACAACCACACTCTGTCCTCCCTCCGTCATGCGTCTTTCGTCTCTTACTTCCCTGTCCTGCCCTCTCTGTGCCCTCTTTTCCCCACCGATTTTCTCCCCCTCTGCTCCCCTCCGATTTTCTCCCCCTCTGCTCCCCTCTGCTCCCTTCTAATCCCCTCTGCTCCCCTCTCCTTCGTCCATCCCAGCGGGTTCAAAGTGAGTGGAATCCACGGCAACAAGAACCAGACTCTGCGCACCAAAGCAGTCAATGACTTCAAGAGCGGCGCTGTTCCCGTGCTGGTGAGTGTAGTCCCATGCTCACATGCACACACACACACACTCTCACACGCGCGCGCTCGCGCGCGCGCGTGCACACACACACACACACACGCACACACATGCACGCACACACACTCGTTGCCGCTCATATGCACTCATGCACACAAGGATGTAACAAGGAACACACCAATGTCTCCCCCTTCATCCCACCGCCCTCCCTTTCTTCCCACCCTTGCATCCGTGCAACCATGCACACTTATCTCTCTGCCTTTCCTCTCTCCCCCCTCCCTCTCTCCGCATTTCTTCTCTCCCCCCTCCCTCTCTCCCCAATCCATCTCCCTTACACCAGGTTGCTACAGACGTGGCAGCGAGAGGGCTTGACATTCCTAATCTGCTGCTGCCCTCCCTGCCCTTCCACACGCCCCCCCTCCCTCTCTCCCCAATCCATCTCCCTTACACCAGGTCGCTACAGACGTGGCAGCGAGAGGGCTTGACATTCCCAACGTTGAGTGAGTTACTCAACACAACCCATGAGGGCCTGTGCTGCATATGATTGTGATATGATGAGGGATATGATTGATGGGAGACGATGGATGGGATGGGATGGGTGGGAGGAGTATATGTATTCTTTATTTTCCCCAATATACCATATTGTTGACATTTCCCCCACGTTGAGTAACTGGGTGTTGGAACCCCCATGTTATCAGGGTGTGAGAACCGGCAATACCTGTGTTTCCGTGTTCTCCCCACACCTGCTCTCTCTCTCTCTCCCACGGAGGACTAAGTGCGTCAAATCTCCTTTCGAGTCGACTGAAACATATACGGCTTTTGAGACGCCTCAAAACTCTTTCTCCCATGAGACTTCTCCTTCCCCCTCACCACCGAGGACTATGTTCATCGAATCACCCACACAAGCTCTGATTGCTCCCCTTCGCCCGTCCATGCCCTGCATTCATCTCACCTGTTGTCCCCCTCAGGGTGGTCATCAACTGCACCTTCCCCCTCACCACCGAGGACTACGTGCATCGAATCACGCGGAACGGCTTTTGATTTTCCTATCACCACCTTATATGCCCCTCTCTCTCGCTCTCCCCCAGGGTGGTCATCAACTGCACCTTCCCCCTCACCACGGAGGACTATGTGCATCGAATCACCTGCAGCGGCTATTGATTGCTCTGCACCCTGTATCCCCATCTTCTATCCCCCTCTTCCATGCCCTTCTCTCTATCTCTCTCTCAGGGTAGTCATCAACTGCACCTTCCCCCTCACCACCGAGGACTACGTGCATCGAATCGGGCGCACGGGTAGGGCAGGCAACAAGGGCATCGCGCACACGCTCTTCACCTCAGAGGATAAGGTGGGGTGCGGTGTAGTGTGGTGGGGTGTGGTATGGGGAGGAGGGACTGTGTACGTGCTGTTGGGCAACAAGGGCATAGCTCACATACTGTTTCACTGGGGAGGACAAGGGCATATAATATAAGCACATGTAAGGCATAGCCAATCTGCTTTCATCCACTACAGTCACACAGGCGAGTCTGACTTGTGAGTCCACTCATAAGTTATTTTGGTTGTTACAGTCACATGCAGTCTTCGTTTCCGATGTATAAATTTCCAGCATTTATCTTGTGCCAATCCGCTTTGTTCCACTACCCTTCGTTACAGGCACGAGCAGGCGAGTTGGTGAATGTGCTGCGGCAAGCCAATCAACCAGTGCCCGAAGGTCTCTTCAAGTTTGACCTCTCTGTCAAGAAAAAGGTGATCATGCTGCAAACTTGGACATGTGTTCGATAAAAATGTTTGAAGTGAAGTTATTCACTTCCCTTGCGGCACACATCTTTTGTGTCCGAAGGTGACATGTCCAAGTGTGCTTGCGCTGCCCGCTCCATCCTGTCCCGTCCCTTGCGATCCCAAAGCTGATGTGTTTGTTGTTGTCCTTGGGCAGGAGTCCAAGCTGTACGGTGCACACTTCAAGGACATTTCTCAAGTCACGAAGAAGGCCACCAAGATTACATTTGATTCTGATGATGATGAATAAAAAAATGGGATGATCTAATGAACAAAATGTTTTCTGGTTGACTGGAGCTATGCGCCAGTGTTGCTGGAAGGAAAGGCAATCAGCAAGATACTGTGATATCAATGGAAATATTGTCTACTCATTTCCTCGGCGTTTACTTGTTAGTCTCAGAAACAGGAAAGAAAGTGTTTGTATCAAAACCAAAATTTGCGATGACCCTCGTAAAGCGTACGTAACTGCAGATCCCATCCGTTCCAAGGATGCATATCGCGCACTCTCCGGAGGCGAGCAACTCAAGCCTGGCAATCCCAAGCCTGTGCTGTATTCCTCCCACACCCTGGCTTGGGAAAAGATCAACGAGGGGCCGAACAGTGCCAGAGAGGTGATCGACCAGGGGCCAAGAGGCCCGGAACTTCCCAAACCGCTGCGCATAGAGGGATTAACATAGAGTCTTCCTTTATTGCACGTAATTATGTTATTAGTGGCATGTACCGGCTCGCATTTTCGCTCGCGTGTCGTTTAGCGAGCCGACTCTACTGGAAACTCTTAGGGCAGCCAACAAAAAACAACTCTTAGGGAACCTGGATGCATTTTCGGGATGGGTCAACCCTAAAACGGATAACTTCCTGGTATTTAGGGTTCATGCCTCCCGAGTCGCATTTGTTTCCGAATGGGTAATATGTTAAAGCAAGGGTGCACATTCCTAGGGGTGGTTTTTGGGGGCATTGTTAGTGTACACCCTTTTCTTCCTGCTGATTCGCTCGCGAAGTGCCAAGGGTTTGTAAAGCTGGGGCGAGGTGGGGAAACAAGACTAGCGAGGCCAAGTTTCGTTCAGGGTTGGTTTGGGGAAACGCGCATGCGACAGGGAGGAACTCAAGCCCTTAGCGCAAACAAACAAGCGGACACGAAAAAATTGTTGGAGAATCAAGTTTCTGCCGCCCCATCCCTTTGCACACAAGGAGCAGCAAGGGGGGAATGTCAGCGACGGATTGAAGGCTTCGCAAACAAATCAGAAAGTTTCTCAACCAATCAGATTGGAGCCGAATTCTCGATACAGTTCGGAATTGTTTTCAAGAAGAAGTGTCAACAGTTTCTACAGGTTTCTACCAAACAAAATCAGCTATGACAGAGAATTCCAGAGCTTTCTTATTCATGCACCTCATGTGGCTCTCAAGTCACTCAAGGTTCATGGAATCTGAATTGTGCCTAAGTTCTCCAGGAAGTTGCCTTGTCTAGCAGCCTAGTTTGAGCTATCAATCTGCATGATTGTAATGCTTAAGCTGTGCCTTAGTGGGCTAGTACAATCTTGAGCATAGTGTAAGTTTTCTCTCATCAAGCCAAGTCCAGCAGCTCTGTTGAGCTCTTCCAGCCAAGTTTCCAGCCTTCCAGTCATCAGAGCTACTCTGTTTTACAAGTTGGTATCAGAGCCCGTCGTTTCGATCAACCGAGCCCGCCACCTCCCTATCCTAGCACAAACCGTCCATGGCGGGAGACAACCCATCTGGCCCTGTACTCCAGCCAGCCGGAGGAGCTTCAGAGTTAACATCAGCAGCTACGGGATTAGTGGAAGCAGTTGCACCAGGCAGTCCTTCAACAACATACTCACCACTCACCTCCTTCATGCCTAAGCTTCACCTCCCCGAGTTCAACGGCAAAGATTTTCCAACATGGGCAGCCCAGTTTGAGCTCACTGCATCTCTTCTGGATCTGTGGCCTTACTACACTGGAGAAGCATCCAAACCAGCAGCAGATGCTTCAGAAGCTGAAAAACGACTTTACGAACGGCGCAACAAGGAGGCCTTCCTCTACCTACTCAATAGCATTCACGAGCAGTAGTTGAAGTCGCTCCTGCCCTGTTCTACCAAGGCAAACAGTGCAGAGGAAGCATGGAGCCGACTGAAGTCTATGCACCAGTCAAAATCCGAGAGCAGCCAGGCCGAGATGTGGAGCCGCTTCATGAGTCTCAAGATGGAAGAAGAGGAACCAGCCCAAACCTACCTTCAACGAGCTGAAACGATGCTAGAGGAAGCAGCAGCGATCGGCTTGGAGATTCCAGAGTCTCTTTTTAAGACCGTCATCCTCACCGGCCTTACACCGGAGTGGGACACTTTTCGTGCAACACTACAAGCACTTCCGCAGTCAATGAAGACCCGCGCGTTCATCTTCGAAGCCCTTGTCAACGAGCAGCAAAGTCGAGACCTTGCACGAAACAGGCGGAGTGACGAGGGTGCGTGGAGAGCTGCAGCAGCTACAAGATATGGCAACCAATCCCAGAGGCAAGGAAATTTCAGCCCAAACCGCCCTCAACCATACTATGGTATGAATTTTCAGTCACCTTCCAACCCATACAAACCCTCTCGTTTTGCTCAGTCAAGTCCTCCGTATAAGTCAAGTCCCTATGTCCAGCCAAGGCCTTCTATTCCCAATCAATATCAGCCTAGGAATGCAAGAGTTAATCCGCCAAGAGTCAATAATTTCAGCCAAGCCTCGAATGCTAAAAAGTTTAATTTTGAGTGTTTTTGTTGTCATGAGTGGGGTCATCCGTGGTATGCTTGTCCTAAGAAGCCTCCTAATTGGGTCCCCCCCCCTCAGCTACTATCTGAAAAGGGTAAGGCAGCCATAGCAAATATAGCAAGTCATTCTACAAGTCAAAATGAGTCCAAAGATTCTGATGGTTCTATCCTTTTCAACGCTGCTACTTGCATGCATGTTTTTTCTACTAGTAGTGAAGAGTTTATTCTTGATAGTGGGTGTTCTGAAACCATGACTCCCTATCAGTCCATTCTCAAAGATTTTCAGCCCTCGTATGACTCAAAAGCTGTGACACTTGCTGATCTTGGCAAAGTACCTATCAAAGGAGTCGGCAAGCTTGAGTTTGAAAAGGATGGTAAGTCTTTTTGTGTCAATAAAGCTTTATTTGTTCCTGATTTGGGAGCAAACTTGCTCTCAGCAGGACAACTTGAAGAGAAAGGTGCCTCTGTTCTTTTGCAAGGGGGGAAAGCCAAAGTGTGGGATAGTGCAGGAAATTTGGTGGCTGAAGGCAAGCGTACCGGGCGTCTCTACAAGATGAAGTTGGAGATTAAGCGCGGTTCTAGCAACGCGAAGAACGACGTTGTTTTGCTTCCCGCTGTTTCAACCGATCAAGTCAACAACAAAGGGAGTATCTCCCAAGCTGAGGTATGGCATGCACGCTTGGGGCACTTGGGGATGCAGCATTCAAAGAGTTAGTAAGTCACAAGAGCGTGGAAGGACTTAATTTGAGTGAAAGTGCAGTCAAATCTCTTTCTACCGTCCCATGCCCATCTTGTGTCGAAGGTAAGTTAGCAAGAAAGCCATTTTTTCCTTCTAAGTCTCAGTCAAGGGACCTCCTAGAGTTGGTCCACACTGATGTATTCGGCCCCATGCGAGACCCTACTCGAAACGGTAAGAAATATTTGGTGTCTTTCATTCATGACAAGAGTCATTTCTCATGGTCCTTTTTCATCAACACCAAGGATGAAGTGCACAAGTGTTTCAAGCAATGGCTAGCACTTGTTGAGAGAGAGTCAGGGAAGAAGTTACTCACCTTGAGGTCGGACCGAGGAGGTGAGTACATGGGGAAAGCATTTCAGGGGGAGTTGTTGGCATTGGGCATCAAACAACAGTTCACTTGTCCCTATAGTCCTCAGCAAAACGGAGTGGCAGAGAGGTTTCATCGCACTATTCAAGCTATAGCTACCACTTTTCTTCAGTTTAAGGGCCTTGACAAGCTCTGGTGGGGTGAGGCAATCACTGTGGCAATTTATGTTCGCAACAGGAGACCTACAAGGCCCCTACCGGATGGTGTAACGCCATATGAGGCTTGGTTTGGAGTTAAACCAGATCTTTCTATGCTTAGTGTTTTTGGTTCCATGGCCCAATACCGTGTTCCAAATGCAAAGAGACTCAAGCTGGACAGCAAAGCTCATTGGGGCCTCTTCATCGGCATGAGCAACGAGAGCAAGGGATGGGTCCTTTGGAATCCCGTCACCAAGCGAGAAGTGGTTTCAAGGGATGTGGTCTTCTATGAAGACATATCCCTTGCAGATTGGCACAAGTTTTCCTCTTCCTCCTCTCTAGCACCCTCTATCCAGCAGGAACTAGCAAGAGCACAGGAAACAACACAAGAGGAGGAAGAAGATGACACAGATTCTGACCATAGCGGACCCATCATCGATCTCCCTGAAGCCGTCGTCAACGAGACCAGCCGTGCCACACCAGCGCCACCAGCAGCTACACAACCAAGTGGAGATGAAGTTCAGCCATCAAATGAAGACCATCCACCTCAGGAAGTCACCGTTCCATCACCACCAAAGGAGCAGCAGCCATCCGTCACAAACCAGCCAGCTACTTCAACACCTACTCCGCAAGTTCAACGTCCATTGGATCAGCCCACCACTACGCCACCAAACCCATCATCAGCCGCCACTCCAGAGGCAACTACCGACACTCATCATCATCCAATGAAGCAGCAATCAACAGCCACAACACCCCAAGTACCTACATCCACACCATCTACAATTCTTCCTACCAACAAGACAACAATCACTGCAACATCTTGTTCTCACACACGTTCATTACTTCAGGTTCCAACGTCAAGCCAGCTCATAGCACGAGGATCACTTCAGCGAGTCACCACCAACACCAGCTCCAACAGCCCACTTCTTCACCCAAGACCTTTCTCAACTTCACCCCCACGTCCCGGAATTGGCCATCATCAGTTACCGTCATCTTCAACACCGAGAAACAACACCAATCAGCCCCATTCATCATCACCTCTTGACAACGCAGCGTCATCATCAATCCCCAAGCTTCTAGTCTCAAGATCCCCACCAAGAGCACCTTCACAACCAACTATGCCGACGAACGTTTCAGCTTCACCGCTACGAGCCATCACTCCTATTCCTCAAGTCAACACCGATAATCGAGAGAGTTCCACGCCGGGAGAAGATCATGCAGCCGTGCCGCTGTCGCAGACGACGTCGCGGCCGTTGTCTCAGCCGCAAATGAGAGTGTCAACGCATCCAAGCACTGTGAGACCGAACCTTACTACTGATGTGTCTCAGTCAAGTGAGGAGTTGGGTAAATGTAAACGAGTCCGCAAGGTGAAAAAGCCGTTCACGTTCATGGTTGACATGTCATCAAGGTGCACGTGTGAGGAGAGTGAGAATTGCATTCACAAGAAGGTAGAGGCAATATGCATGGCAGCGTCACATCTTCCACGAGAGCCATTGAGTCGTCGTGAGGCAGTGGCAAGTCCCGAGAGAGAGCATTGGTTGAAGGCCGAGGAAGAAGAGATTGAGAGTCTCATGAAGAGAGGTACATGGCGTCTTGTTGAGCCATCTCCAGAGAAGAAGGTAATTGGTGTCAAATGGGTGTACAAGATTAAGGTAAAAGGTGATGGTACACTTGATAGGTACAAGGGAAGGTTAGTGGCAAAAGTTTATTCCCAAATTCCAGGTCTTGACTTCACCGAAACCTTTGCCGCGGTAGCAAAGTACACCACGGTACGAGTTCTCCTCGCCATAGCCGCATATCTTGGTCTCCATATCCATCAAATGGATGTCAAGAACGCATTTCTCTACGGTGTCTTGGACGAAGAGGTATACATGGCACAACCCGAAGGTTATGATGATGGTACGGGTCGAGTTTGTCGCTTGGTAAAGTCACTTTATGGTCTCAAACAGTCCCCACGGGTATGGTATCATGCTCTTGAGACGGTACTCTTCAAGCACGGTTTCACAAGGTCCATGAGAGACAACGCGTTGTACTTCATGCACACGAGTAAGGGGGAGTACATTTGGCTGTTGGTATATGTTGATGACCTCCTCCTAGTCTCAGGTTCTCTTGATCTCCTCAACAAGGTGAAAAGTATTCTCATGAGTGCATTCACGATGACCGATCTTGGTGAGCCGAGTCATTATCTTGGTATGAACATTGTGAGAGATCATAAGTCACGGTCCATCTTCCTATTCCAGCAAAGGTACATCCAAAAGGTCCTTGAGAGGTTTGGTCTTGATGATAGCAAGCCATCACCTACCCTGCTTCCTTCCAACTTTGTCCCTCTGTCATCACATCAGCCCTGTGAAGAGAGGGAGTCAAGCCTTGACATCACGGGTATTGAGGAGTTGTGTCTTGAGGAGAGTGAGCATCATGGTGAAAATTCACCCAAGGTATCCCCACAAGACCTAGCTCTCTACCAAAGTCAGGTTGGGTGTCTCATGTATGCAGCCCTATGCACAAGGCCCAACCTAGCATTCACGGTATCCAAGCTAGCTCAACACATGAGTGCCCCATCACCTACCCATATGCATGCAGCCAAGCGAGCTCTTCGGTATCTCAAAGGTACTTCTAATCTTGGTCTTCTCTTCCAAGCCAGCCCACATGCAAGCTCCCTCCAAGGCTTCACCGATGCAGATTGGGAAGGAGAATTGAGCACACCCAAGTCCACCGGCGGCTACATCTTCCTCATGTGCGGTGCCGCTGTTTCTTGGCAATCACGCAAGCAAAGTTGTGTGGCGCTTTCTACAACCGAAGCCGAGTACATGGCAATGACCGAAGGAGCAAGGGAGGCAATCTGGTTACGTGGACTCTTGGAGGACTTGAGGCAGCCGCAAACTCAACCGACTCCGCTCTACGTGGACAACACTTCAGCCATCGCTCTTTCCAAGAACCCGGTTCATCATGGGCGTACAAAACACATCGAGGTGCAGTACCATTTCATCCGTGAGCAACTAGAGAAGGGAGTTCTCGCTGTCAACTTTTGCCGTTCATTCGACCAAGCAGCAGATTTCATGACTAAGGTTCTTCCATATGATGCATTCAACATGTGCAAGGCAAGAGCAGGTCTCATGACACTTCATAAAGCAGTGCAGCAGTTTGAGGAGAATGAGGGGTATGAGGAGAAGCAATATGGGCAGCAGCATGGAGTTTATGCCAAGGAGATGTAAGAGGAGAATAAGAATGGGCGTATGTGTGCTTCGGGTCAGGTGCGAGGGGGAGTGTTGGAGAATCAAGTTTATGCCGCCCCAGCCCTTTGCACACAAGAAGCAGCAAGGGGGGAATGTCGGCGACGGATTGAAGGCTTCGCAAACAAATCAGAAAGTTTCTCAACCAATCAGATTGGAGCCGAACTCTCGATACAGTTCGGAATTGTTTTCAAGAAGAAGTGTCAACAGTTTCTACAGGTTTCTACCAAACAAAATCAGCTATGACAGAGAATTCCAGAGCTTTCTTATTCATGCACCTCATATGGCTCTCAAGTCACTCAAGGTTCATGGAATCTGAATTGTGCCTAAGTTCTCCAGGAAGTTGCCTTGTCTAGCAGCCTAGTTTGAGCTATCAATCTGCATGATTGTAATGCTTAAGCTGTGCCTTAGTGGGCTTGTACAATCTTGAGCATAGTGTAAGTTTTCTCTCATCAAGCCAAGTCCAGCAGCTCTGTTGAGCTCTTCCAGCCAAGTTTCCAGCCTTCCAGTCATCATAGCTACTCTGTTTTACAAGTAAAGTGTCCCCCCCGTATTGTCTAACAAATCTGAACTACACAGATGGAAAACGTAAGCATTTGGCCATCACGCTACGTAGAATATAGACTGCGCTCCCATACTACTTAGTAAGTAGCAGATTGTCGGGCCCCACACGTGCTTACGGTTATCTCACCGCTTACAAATGTCAACAGCAAGGCTAGAGCGCGTCGTCACCAGGGAAGCGACTCGTCGTCCTCCCGTCGTTCCTGCGAGAAAGCATTGGCGCAGCATAACCGATAGATGGTTTCCCACTCACCGAGAGCAGTGCGCCTCATCGTCTCGCCTCCCCGCCAAACTCGCCGAGGGGACAGCATCACGCCCGGTCCGCGCGGCCTCCAATGCTGCCTCGCACCCTCTATGCCGCCAAATCGTCACCTTGCCTTCCCATCTCCACAACGCCACCACAACACCGACTCGCCGTAGCGCTATGTCATCGCCGCCACATAGGAGCCTCGCTGCCACGTCGTCACCTCGCCGATGTAAACCCCAGATCGCCGCATAAACGCCCCCTCGCTTATGCAGTCGCCGCCACATCGTCGCATCGCCGCCTCGTCGCGCCGCTTCCGCATCGCCGCAACATCGCCGCATCGCCGCCACATCGCCGCATCGCTGCCACATCGCCGCATCGCTGCCACATCGCCGCATCGCTGCCACATCGTTGCATCATCCCTACTACTTGCTCTCGGTTTCTCCCCTTGCATGCCCTCATTTCCTCCCTTGCTTCCGCCCATTTCCCCCCTGCTTCCCCCCATTTCCCCCCTCCTTCCCCCCATTTTCCCCTTGCTTCCCCTCATTTCCCCCCTGCTTCCCAACGTTACTTCCCCTCTTTCCCCCCCTTCTTCCCCTCATTTCTCCCCCTCTTTTCCCGCCCTGCTTCCCATCTCCCTCATCCCTTCCCTCCCTCTCTCAGCCCTTACAGGTGCGCCGACAAGCCCTTGGGGGTCGCCCTTGTTGTTCTCCTGTAAACTGCCCCACTCCTCCCCCATGGCTCCTTGCTTCACCGTCCCTCGTCTCAAGTTACTCTTTTCTCCAACTACACTACACCCCCCCCCCCCCCCCTTCATCATTCTGTCCTCTTCTCTCCCCCTGACCTCTCCACCCTTACCTCCTCTCTCCTCCCTGCCTTGTCTTCCTCTCCCCCTCCTTGTACTTCTCTCCCCCTCATTGTCGCAGTTGTCCTCTGTTCCCGTTATCTTCCTCTCTCCCATCTGCCCTCCTCTTTCCCCACCGTCTCTACTCTACCCCCTGTCCTCATCTCTCGTCACGTGCTCCCCTCTCTCCTCCCGTCCATCCCTCTCTCATCCTGTCCACCCCTCTGTCCTCCCGTCCATCCCTCTCTCATCCCTTCCACCCCTCCCTCATCCCGTCCACCCTTTACCATCCCTTCCTCCCATCTCTCATGTTTTCCTCCTCTCTCTCATCCCATCCACCCCTCTATCATCCCTTCCTCCCATCGTTCATCTTTTCCTCCTCTCTCTCCTCCCGTCCTCCCTTGTATCACCCATTCCTCACACCTCTCATCCTTTCCTCCCCTCTCTCAGCTCTTTCGTTCCTCTCTCGTCCTTTTTCAACCCAGCTATTGTCTTCAACAGGCATGTAACTCGGTGCACATGAACGTTTACACTTTTCACCATCTATGTGCCATCACATCACCAACCAATGGCATGCTTTGTGCCGGTACACAGAGTGGATGTACCTGCAGCAGGGCACCGGTGGTGGAGTACCCTTTGAACCTCACAGTGAGCAACCTCAGCTGCTTCATGGCTGCGCCCACCCTCAGCTACCAGGTTCTGCTTGCCACCTCAGCAAGTCAAGTTCTTGTCTCATGCTCCATTGCCACTACATGCAGTGTAGACCCTCCGCCTGTTTGCCATGTAATTTTTTTTAGAACCATGTATGTTTTTGTAGAACCATTTATATTTTTTTAGATGTAAAATACAGAACATAAGCATGCAGTATCAGGATATACAATACAAGCTTGAGTCTTTGCTCTAGTCTTGGGTGTTTCCATTTTGAATCTGCAAGCGGTCCCTTTATGCCATGTGGCTCGTCTGGGCCTTTGAGATGCTGAAAGCAGGATCAAGGGGAGGCGGCAACGTCCGTGCAGCTCCTCTGGGGTGAGGGAATAGGACAAGGCGGGTTGAGGGGATAGGACAAGGCGGGGAGAGGGGATAGGACAAGGCGGGGTGGGGATAGGACAAGGGACAGGATAAGGCGGGGTGAGGGGACAGGAGAAGGTGGGGTGATGGGAAGGACAGGGCGGAGAGGGGGGATAGGACAGGGCGGGGCGAGGGGATAGGACAGGGCGGGGCGAGGGGATAGGACAAGGCGGAGTGAGGGGAGTTAGGATTGAGAGAAGAGAGAGGACAGGGAAGGGAGGTAGGACAGAGTTGGGAGATATGACAGGGAAGGGTGACATAACACGTAGAAGGGTGACATAACACAGGGACTGGTGAAAGGACAGAGAGGGAGAGAGGGAGGAAGAGGGAGAGAGAGAGGGGCATTGAAGGGAGAGAGGGTAGGGCGTGGAGAGAGGGAGAGGGAGGAGAGAGCGCCGGCAGGGTGTGGAGAAAGGGAGAGGGAGGAGAGAGGCTAGGGAGTGGTGTGAGAGAGAAAGATGGGGGAGAGTGGGAAGGGAGGTGTAAGAGTTGATGTTACACCCCCAGGGTTGGCGCTGCAACGGAGATGCGGAGAGGCGCTGTGGTGCCGTTGGGAGAGGCAGGTAGACGTTGAGGAGTGAGGCGCGGCTTGGATGACCTGATAAGGCACTGTGACAGCGAGGAAGATGAATCTGAGAGGCAAGGGAGGACACACCCTGGAATTGAAACAGGGAGGGGAGAAGCCTCCTCTGCAAGAGGAGAGAGGACATGGAAAGGCAGGTAGGTCAGAGAGGGAAGAGAGGAGAGAGGGACAAATGGGAGAGAGGGGGATGAGCAGGGAGAGCGAGAAGAAGGGGGTGAGACGGCATTGACGGGGGAGAGGGCATGGAGGGAATCCCACAGCAGAGAGTGGAGAGAGAGTCAATGATAGAGTCACAAGAGGGAGAGGGGGATTTATGCATTGCAAAAAGGGGAGATAGGATGGACGGAGGAGCGAGATGGGACAGAGAGGGGAGATAAGACAAGGAAAGGAGAGAGTGCTAGGAGAGAGAGGGCAGGGAGATAGGACGGAGAATGGTGATAGGGCGAGAGTGGAGATAATACAGGAAGGGAGCTAGAGTAGGGAGTGGATGTAGGACAGGGAAGTGAGATAGGTCAGAGAGGGGGGAAGCTGCCGGGAAGGGTAGATACTAAAGGTAGGCGAGAAGGGACAGGGACCGGAGATAGGACATGGAGGGGGATTGGTTATGCATGGGGGAAAATCGGAGTGACGTTGCTTTGGGTCCAGACCTGGTAAGCGTTGGAGTGAGAGCTGTATTGGGAGAGGGAGGGCGCTTCGCAAAGGCGCGTTGAGGCCAGCGCAGAGGGTGCGCGGAAGACGCAAGGTGACGGCACGGTCATCTCGCCGCGAAGGCCCGGATGCCGCGATTTGAGTGCTCAGCCGTGGCGCTAAGGGGGCTCGGTCGCGGCGATGGAGATAGGACATAGGGAGGATTGGATAGCGGGCAGCGGGGAGAGAGCGGAGCAAGGGAGAGACTTGAGTAAGTTGCACAGGCGAGTAAGCAAGAAAGGGTCTAATGGACAGCGGGGTCTAAAGGTGAGCACTGGACGCGCGACGGAAAGAAGGAAGAGAATGTAGTCAGCATAAGGCAGAGTATGGGAGTGAGTGTTAGAATCAAGAAGTGATTGAACTATGAAACATTGGAGTACAAGTATGAAACCCTAGAGTTGTGTACCCCCTAAAGGCTAACCCACTATAGCCTACACAGCAATAACATATATACAATGTTTGACACACCCCCATAGCCAAAGTGGGGAGAGCAAGGGGTCACAAGACCAGTCAAGAAAGGCAAAGCAAGCTCAGGGTCTCCGTCAGGTGCAATCAGCATGGACACGAGATGAGGTACAGCGGCGGCAAAGCACTCAAACTCCTCCTGCGTGTCCTAAAGGACGTCCGTGCCAAGAGCACACTCACCCCCGACGGACGGAGGACAGACAGACTCAGACTCAGCAACAAGACTCGTAGCGTAGTCTAGACGACAGTGAGCAGCAAAGTCGACAAGCTCAGCAACTAAGGCAGACGCAACAGCTGACTCAAAGGAAGGGTCAGAGACAGCAATGGCCAGGAGACGCGTGACAGTAGGACTAGCATCACGAAGAGAGTCAGACTCCGGATCAGCAAGGGCAGGAAAGGAGGACACAAGAGGAGAAGGCAGAGGGACACGCTGTGGAGCAGTGGAAAGACGAAGCAACATCTGGTGAGTGCCGGGGATAGCAGGAGGATGCTGACGCAGGACACGACGACCAGTGCGAGCAGCACGAACAGGTGACGCAGAACGAGACTCAGGCGACACAGGACGAGACTCAGGCTCACGACGCTCCGTAAGACCTCCTGTCGGACCAGTGTAGGGAGAAGGACCAGGAAGTGGCGAGGCAGGCTGTAACTGTGACTGCGACTGGAGAGGCGGAGGACACTCTAAGGAGGGAGCAGGACAAGGAGGAGGTGGTTGACCAAGAACCTGCTGAAGGAGCAGAACGAAGTACGGCCGTGGCCGTGACGTGCCCCCAGAACCAGCAGAGACAGCACCAGAACCCCTAGTAGCAGCTCCAACTCCCGCAACACCAGCAGCACCTCCAGTAGTGTCAACTCCAGTACCTCCAGTAACACCAGTAGCACCTCGAGCAGGACCAATACCAGCAGCACCTCCAGCAGCTCCAGTACCTCCAGCAGCACCAGCACCACCTCCAGTAGCAACAGGGCCTCCAACAGGCGGCACCTCAAAACTAGGAGCTCCACTCCGGAGGCTGCAACGCCGAGCGTACCACTCACGTAGTCGCTGAGGGGAGGGAGGCTCCGGCCGCGATACAGTACCCGCAGCTCCAGTAGCCCCACGCCGGAGGCCGCAACATTGAGACTACCACTCACGCAGCTGCTGTGAAGAGGGAGCGCCACCAGGCTCAGCACCCCCAGCCTCAGCATCCCCAGGCTCAGCACCCCCAGGCTCAGCACCCCCAGGCTCAGCACCCCCAGTCTCAGCACCCCCAGGCTCAGCACCCTCAGTCTCAGCACCCTCAGGCTCAGCACCCCCAGTCTCAGCACCCCCAGGCTCAGCACCCCCAGTCTCAGCACCCCCAGTCTCAGCACCCCCAGGCTCAGTACCGCCAACCTCAGCACCCCCAGGCTCAGTACCCCTCTCAGGACCAGAGTCAACAGCTACCTCGACAGGCTCGACTGCGTCTACCTGGGAAGCACCTGAGGGAGCAGGACCCTGGGGAGGGAGGGGGTCTACCGAAGGGGCACCTGGGGTGAGGAAGAGAGGCGGGGGAGGGAGCGGAGCAGTGCGGTAGGGGAACAGACGGTAAAAGAGTACCGACTCGTCAAAGGTGACGTCATGAGAGGGGAAGACACGGCGCGAGGTGGGGTGGTAAAACTGCCAACCAAGCGCATCGGGGACAAAGCCAAGGAAGACACAGGGCACAGCGTTGGCATAGAGCTTGTCCGCAGTGGTATCGCGGAAAAAGGCACGAGCACCCCAGACCCGGAAACGCGACGCATCGCCAACCTGCCCCGTCCACAGCAGTGTGGGCGAGGTCTCTGGAGCAGAGACACGGGGCCAGAGGTTGAGCTGATGCGCGGCGTACTGGACTGCAAACGGCCACAGGAAATGGGGGGCAGCCGCATGGATCAAGGAGGTACGAGCGATCTCCATGATTAAGCCAATGCGGCGCTCAGCAACCCCATTCTGCTGTGGAGAGGCCGGAAGCGTGAACGTCTGGCGGATGCCGTGCTCCGCACAGTAGGCTGCTAAGAGGTCGGAGGAAAACTCACCACCTCGGTCAGAGTGCAGACACAAGACGGGAAAGTCCGACTGGAACCGCTCGCAGAGCTGGAGACGAGCAGCGCCGATCCTAGGGATCAAAACATTAGGGACCTCACCCTTGGTGCGCAAGGGGAAGACCGTGGTGTAGCGCGTGTAGTCCTCAACAACCAGCAGGAAGTACCGCTCATGGCCCTGTCCACGGACGCGGGCTGGGCCCCACACGGCCAGGTGGAGAGTCTACAGAGGAGCCTCTGTGGGAGGGAACGAGGAGGAGTGAGGAGCGGCGCGCTACCGCCCCTCGACGCAGGGAAGACAGCGAGGAGCAGGCGAGTGCGGGAGGGGAGGGAGAACTCTGGCAAGACCAGAGACAAGGTACCGGGAGTGCATGCCACGAAGGCGCTGCACTGACGGGTGACGGGTGGTGCCAGAGAACTATCTGGTGCGACAGGGAGCGACACGAGCAGGGGGCCGACAGCTGACCTAACGCAGACGCAAACGCAGCTACCTGAGGGGACTCAGTGGTCAGTGTGTACAGGTCCGACCCTGGTTGCCGAGTGAAGGTAGCTAGGTGACGACCTGTCCTAGCACACGTGCAGTGGGTCACACGCTCATAGGCAGGGGTGAACTGGTGAACACCCCCGTCCTGAAGAGCAGAGCCCGCCACCAAGTTCGTAGAGAACGAGGGGAGGTAAAGACCCGACAGGGTGCCGGACGGGACCGCAGGACAAGGGAGGACAGTGGAGGAGGTCGCAAGGACCGAGCCCCCAGAGGGGTCAGCGAGGGAGACAGCAACTGGCCTAGCTAGCTGCTCAAGGGCAGTGCGGTCACAGAAGAAACAGCGGGAAGCACCCGAGCCGAGTGTGAAGGTGTGCAGTGCCTCAGTAGACGCAGTACCAGCAAGCGCAGACGCACTCGCACCTGGGGGAGCAGACTCACTAGCACCAAGAGCAGCAGCCTTACCAGGACCTAGGGCAGCAGATGCACTAGTACCAAGAGCAGTAGCCTCAGCAGGACCTAGGGGAGCAGACGCACTAGCACCTGGAGCAGCTATCTCACTGGTCCCAATGCCCGGGTCGGGCGGTACACTCAGGTAACAGTCACACTCAACACTAATAGTCAATGCATACATGGCACCAAGGATAGCATCAAAATCAAGAGCAAAGATATCAATGTTCTTCCTAAGCAGATCAGCCCAGCGGGGCAGCTCAGTGGCGTCAGGAAACTGCTCACGCCAGGCGTCGTTGAGACGAAAGAAGCAGCGCTGCTCCGTGTGGAACCTCCCACAGGTCTGGCCAGTGCGGTCACCTGTGCGGATGACGTACGAGCAGGAACCTCCACCCCCAGACCCCCCACGCTGAGAGTACCACTCACGGAGCTGCTGGGGCGAGGGAGTCTCGCCGGGACGCTGCTGCTGCTGCCTCTGGCCACCGCCGAACCCCCCACGCTGCACCGCTCCACCGCGCCCGCCACCCGCTCCTCCGCCGCCACCACTGCCACCACCGCCCCCACCACCCCCACCACCTCTGCCGCCACCACCCCCTGTGCCGCCACTGACCCCCCCACCACCCGCGCCACTCCCACCTCCGCCACCACCCCCGCCCCCCCCACCCCCTCCACCGCCGCCGCCCCCGCCTCCACCTCCGCCACCCCTGCCCCCCTTGCCCCTGCTGCCCTTGCGCCTCCCACTAGGAGCAGACGCAGCCCTGACCCCCTCAGCTCCGAGGTAGTCGACAGTAGCAGCAGATGCAATGGAGGGGAGGAGGGGGGAGGGGGAGCACCCCTCAAAGAAGGGGGAGAGGGGGTCACCACGAGAGGCACCTACAGCTACAAGGCTCTTCTCAGCTGCTAGGAGTTCCTTCTCGAGGAGGTCGACAGTGAGGTCAGTGGGGGAGAGGGCGAGAAATTGGTCCCTGGCAGTGCGAAGGGAGTCAGGGAGGCGGGTGACTAGGTGGTACAGTGTGAGGTACATCGGGGGGGGGGGGGGGGGGGGTTCTTGGCGAGGAAATCGGGGGGGAGCGCGGCACGGTAGCGGAGGTCACTGGTACGGAGGTAGGTGATGAGGTCAGCTACAGTGGCAAAGGCGGACAGATCAAGGAAGAGGTAGGGCAGTGAGAGACGACCTATCGCAGCAGTGGCGGGGGAGGAGTAGCGCGCAACTACTGCATCGTACAGCTCCTTAGCGGTCTTATGCTGGCCGAAGTGCTCGCGCTCATCTAACGGCAGGTGGCTGCGAACGGCTAGGCGAGCATGAGCGTCACGGGTCTGCCACTGGGAGCGAGCAGTACTGTCAGCAGTAGCGGCAGGTGCGGGAGCGGCGCCTGACGTGTGGTCATACAGGGAGACATCGTCCTTGGCAGTGATCTGGAGGAACAGGTGCAGGTCATCTAACCAAACCTCAAACTTAATCGGGCGGCCCTCAGCGTCAAAAGTGAGAACAGAGGGAGTGGCCATAGCGGCAGTAGCAGCAGTAGGAACAGTAGCAGTAGTAGCAGCAGTAGTAACAGTAGCAGCTGAAGTAGTAGGATCGGCAGGAGCAGGAACCGAAGTTGCTGCAGGTGGGGCACAATAAGGCGGCGCGGC